TCGCAGAAAGCTTTGGACGTCTCACAATCGCTGATGACACCTTTCTGTCGCCAGACACAATAAGCACAGCTTCCACTCAGAGTGACGAGCCCTCACCTGTGATCTTACATGAGCCGCACGTTAAGCTGAGTGAGTTCCTGGCAGCATGCAAACTTGAGCCGCTTGGAAAGCCATGGATTTCTTGGATTGATTCCTCTGAGCGTACAAGACAACGTCAGACAAGGAGAGCCACAGAAATAGTAGCAACTGTACTAAAGAGCGTCACCCCTGATAATGCTGGTGAACTCTGGCGACGTCTAGCCTCTTCTACGGCTATGAACAAGGCCCTAGGTGTAAGCGAGTTGTCACATTCAGAGCATTTGTATTTAGAGGCCCTAGCAGAAGCGTACCAGAATGCAACCAGCTGGGATACCCGTAGACAAGTGCTTTTGATTATGGCAGGGGTTGGAACTTTCAACAATATTTCCCGTTATATCCCGGGGTTGACGAGTTACCGATACTCCGTGGCTAATCTTCATCGATCACAGTTTGGCCGAGGCGCTCAAGTTCCACAACAGTCTACCACACGAATACGAGTAGACTTGAGGCAGCTTGACCACTTTCTTGGTTTCATCACAAGCCCGCATCTTTTTCAGGACTTTCCATTTGGGCAAAAACATCTCAAGCTTTCGTCTGGTGAGGTTATTCAAGTACCTAACGTAATCCGTATGATGATACCCGAGCGAGTGGTACAACAGTACACTCAGGACTGTTTGAAGATCAACTTCAGACCATTCAGCGGAACTACTATGAGACGGGTACTCTTTGAGTGCATGTGCCTCTGTAAGAAATTCACTGCAGGGCTTAGATTATTTTGCAGCTGAAGGTGCTCGCGCATTTGATGATCTCGTGGCCCTTGTACGCCAAATAGGGGAATTAGGTTCCGGCAAGGAGTGGGAGACTACAGTTGTGCAAGCAAGCAGTATTTGAAGGGGGACTATAGGGTAATGTGAATTCTGACTCCAGCAAGACAGCTTGAATAAAACTAAAAGTAAGTACTTCTTTTATCTCGTCAACAAAATCATTCCGTAAAAAAAAAAAAAAATTGTACTCTTTTTCTTCTCTAAATGGTGCACGTGTAACTAGCTTACATAAATTCTCGAGATTAACAATGCGCGCACGAGGATAGTCGAGGATAGTCTTTTCTAAGGTTAAGGTTAAAAGTTATTCGCCCCCCTACGTTAATAATATATGTTAGATTAAAAAGTCATTTGATTAACTATTATATTGAAGTATAAGCACAGACAAACAGTAATCTCAGTTTTGTTTTATCAACAGGTTCATGTCACTAGCCCCTCTAACGTAGCAGACCATTGTGTGTTGTTTGCTCTTAGCGACTGTAGTGATTCAGATTACCAGCAACAATGCAGTCACCAACACACTAATCTTTGTGACCGTTGTCAAAGTCTTCAGGAAACTCTGGCAAAGATTGAACGGGTCCTTGGCGAGACGACCTTTCCGACTCAGGACGCGAAAGACGAAGCGCTATTTATATTCCAGACAGCCCAGCTGGCCATAATGTCCTGGAAATGCCACATCCTTAGATCAGCTAACCAATACCAAGCGAGAATAGATGCACTGGAGAAACTTGACGACAACACTGTCTTGATAATTAACGACTGGGCCATGAAGTTCCTGCCACAAAAATACAGAGAGTCCCAAACCGACTGGTTTGGTAAGCGAGGTATCTCCTGGCACGTTTCTGTCGTCTACCGTCGTGTGAGCGGGGTACTCCAGTGGCAGGGCTTTCTGCACATAGTCCAGTCGTGCAATCAAGGCAGTGCTGCAGTGGTTAAAATCATGCAGGATGTCCTGAATACCATCAAGCTGGAACACAGTGAGATTAACAAGGCGTTCTTTCGCTAGGATAACGCAGGATGTTATCATTCGTCGTCCACCGTACTCTCATGCCCAGTGATATCCTCCTCCACCGGCATCGAAATCAAGCGCATTGACTTTTCTGACCCACAGGGTGGAAAAGGTGCCGCAGACAGGCTCGCTGCAACCTGCGAGAATCACGTCAGGACTTTCATAAACGAAGGAAATGACGTGGCCAATGCCGAACAACTGAAGAGTGCTCTTCTTTCGCATGGGGGGGGGGGGGGTAGAAGGAGTTCGAGTTGCTGTCATGCAAAGTGTTGAAGAGGAAGCAGTAGTAGATGACAACAGAAAGATTACTGGTATCAACAAATTAAACAATTTCGAGTTTAAAGACGAAGTTCTCGTAGCTTGGCGCGCTTATGGTATGGGAAAGGGAAAAGAGATCGCATTGGAAACAACATCAGAAGGTTAGTCTAATGAAAATTCACAATTTCATCGTTTTTTCATAGAATTATTTCATCGAGCAAAAAGATATTTTTTTTACAGTTTGAGTAAAAAGGTGTTTGTTATAGCCTTCAGACGCATGAAAGGCATCCATTTCCCATCCTGGTACGCAGGAGGAGCGGATGTCTACCACCCCGTGGGGTTTTGCTTTGTAAAAGACTTAAGCCCCTTAGCCCCTTTATAAATTTATAGCGCTTAATTTGTTCTACAAAATTTTTAAAACGGACATATGGCGGTTCTGAAGAACATGTCGTCATAAGATGTAAAAAGCAAACGTTTCATCTGTTCGCGAAGTAAAGTGGACCAAAGGGGCACTCTTCACAGGTTGTGCAGAGTGAAGTATTGAAGTAGGTGAACAGTGCTTTTTATGTAAATCTTGTTTCTTTATGTGTTATCTACTTCAGAGCATGGCATTGGTTGGCTTTCATCTGAGTTTTCTTCTGGAGTCTTTAAACCCCTTAGCCCAAAACCGACTCAGTCAAGTAAGAAGCAAGAGACGGAAGTGGAGCAGGATCATGATCATACTGACAATACAAATGAATCGTCATCCGTGTTTACCTGCCCTCAGGATGGGTGTGTTAAGGTCTTTCAAAGGCTGTCATCTCTCGAAAAACACCTATCTTTAGAGAAATGCACCAAGTCTCCTGAAACGGTCTTTGTTAGACCTTGCCAAACTAGACTACAAGTCCAGGTTGGAGGAGGGCACGACCAGTCAAGTTATTTCGTTTGCGTCTTTTAGGGATACAAGAGAGGCTACATCCGGCGAATTAGAGGTAAAAGAAGGATGGGCGCTAAAGCCGAGCAAAAAAGCATATCGCTTTAACCAAAACCAGAGGGATTATCTAAATGCGAAGTTTACAATTGGTCAGACCAGCGGCAGAAAACCAGACGGTGATATCGTAACGTGAAATGAGATGTGCACAAGGACCTGATAGTGTTCGTTTGTTCAAAGTATCCGAGTTTCTTACCCAGCAGCAGTGTACTTCATATTTCTCAGGTCTTGCAGCGAAGGTCCGACGGTAAACATCCGACGATGCTGAAATCCAAGCTGTAGTAGAAGAGGAAAATTTTACCATGGCAAGAGAAACAATCCTATCCATCACGCTACAGCACCCCATCACTTACGATCAGTACGATATCTGTGCCATGGCCAAGGGAGGATCTCTGGAGCGACTTAAACTTGGAATGCTTCAAAACATTTGTCAGCAACTAGAATTAGAAGTACCTCCCAAGCCTGTTCGCCGCAAAGCGCTCTACCTTGACCTGCTGAAAAAAGCCGTCATTAATTGCACTTGCCAGCTCCGTGGGCAAAATATGTAGAAACAGAAAGTTCTACCCTGCTCACAGACGTTTTTCTGTTTTGGGAATTTGGTGCGCACAGGATAAGCGATTTCTCGTGAGAGAGGGCGGAGCGCGCTTTTTTTTATACGTGCACTCGACGATATCTAAAAATGAAGAGAGTCTGTGAACAGGCTAGTTAAGTACACAAATTGTAGAGTTTTGCCTAAACCGTGTTCTTACTTCTCCTCAGAGGCTTGCTTCCAGGAGTGAATCATTCACCATTTGTTCTCGCCGGAATAACTAAGTCAAGAAAAAATCTATTTTGTTCATTGTTTTGCTTCCTTTACTCATTTTTGAAGTTTGTTTATGTTTAAAAGAGCGTTCCTCTTCGGAAAGTGAGATCGTTTCTTGTTTGTCAGGGTGAGTCCTTGTTACAAATCAGTCAGTTACCTTTCAGCTCGTGACTATTTACACGTTATAAATGTCTCTTCCCGCTCTAACGAATCAATGACACCTTATCTTATAAATGTGAAGAGGTATTTTAGCCTGCATAACAGCCGCTTTATGAGCAAGGCGAGGTGAACGCAGCATTTGCTCGAAGCACGAAACGAGTGCGAAGCGCGAGACGAGGGATGGAGAAAAATAAAGCTTTATTTTTCTCCTCCCCTCGTCGCTTCACGCGCTTCGCGCAAAATGCCACTTTCGCCTCGCTTGGTTCATAAAGCGCCTGTTATGCAGGCTGGAGGTATTTCTGCAAGTTCTTTGAGTTAACCAAAGATAACTTTATTTATCTTCGCTAAACAACACTTCTAGAGGTCTCTATAGAAAGCGTTACGCGCGAGAATGTGGAATTTTATAACACTCCACATCGCGTATTCAGCCCTGTGGTTCTCTTTCTCGCGCTCGCGGCGTGAATTGGTCATAGTTAACTCAAAGATTATTATTAGCCTCAATAGGCTTTTCAACAATTTTGAAGAGGTCTGGAAGGCTTTAAGGATGCGATAAGCACACGCAAGTTTGAAGTTGTGTTGTGGACAAGCTCTTAATGAAACTGAGAATTTCTAGTTACCTGGCTAGGGTTTCCTGGTTTCGGAGGAAAAATCATAAAAAAAAAATCCAAAACAAAACTAAAGCAAGCTATAAAGTTGACTTTTCTGCTTTTTTTTTTTTTGCTGTAGGGATTGTTGCAAGGTGGGAAATTCGGGAATAACGAACTTATTAAGGAACCATTTGTGTTTGAAATATTTTAGGAAATATTATACCACTCTGAATCAAAAACTGAGATGAATGTCTTTCACAGCCAGTCAGAATATGCATGTGTCCAGACCAATACAAATATATAAATCAAACAAAGCAAGAAGGTCTGTTCAGTGAAAAGTTTATATATTTTTTTACCAAAACAAAGGCCGAAAACAGAAGCTATGGAGTATTTCGTGACAGTTTGCTAACGTGACCTTGGCATGTAACCGATTTCCGGGTCAGCAGAGGTCATAAGACCTTGTGATGGCTTGAAATCGTAACTAAACGAATTCAGAATCGAAGCCAACGGTTTCGAATGCATTTTAATTCTGCTTTTTCCCCCTGAAGAAACTATTTTAAAATTGTGGTAACGGAGTTTCGTCAAGCGATGACAGCTTCAGTTCGAAGTTGCGATCTCAATGATTTCACTGGTAGCAAAGTGGCTAAACAAACGTTTTTCAGTCGTCATATAAAAAGTTATTTACGGCTCTTACCAACACGGCTGAAAGCTAGAAATAACATTTTCACTCTAAAAACACATTACACTAAACTTTGCGTTTAGTATGAATTCATTAAGCGGGCCGTCTAATTTGCATAAATTTGATTAACTTAAATTCTCAAATTGCTTACTCCAGTGTTAGGGCTGCATTTAATTTCCAGAGCGAAAACGTTCCCGTAATTTACTTCAATAGCCAAGGCTTTATTCTACATGGGTTTTACTAGGAAGCGACATATACCAGAGGGCTTTTACAACAGTTAAAGTTCGCTTTCATTTTCTAACATTTCAAGAGACACAAATATGACCTTTTTAAACTTGTCGATTGCAAATGTTAAAAACTTCTTTCTTCAAATTTTTCTTTTAGGATTTTAAAGATTAAGAACGAAATAATACTCGGCTGAAGTTTCGATGTTAGGGATTGTTTTTTATGCGTTCACCGTTTTCTCGAAGTTGCGGTCGGATTCTGCTGTTTTTAAGCGCGAAAAGACAGCAATAAATCGATTTTTCAAACTTTTTGTTATTTCTCCCGTACAATGAATCGCTTGAACCCAAAACTATTTTTTCTTGAATTAGGTCACTAAAAGGGATGTTTTGGCAAAAGAAAAAAAATTCCAATTTTTTACGAGTGTCTTGCGATTTTCGATTTTCTCGGAAAATGGCTCTTAATACAATACTACTTGCAGCATCAATATTCAAGATTAAAGTAACAAAGAAACTAAGAGATTTTTAGGGCAATAACATATCTTTTTCTTACCTCGCATGATCATGCAGGTTTTCTTAGAGAATCCTTAAGATTTTGCTTTCAAATTTATCATCAGGTATTTGTCGACGTCTGAAGTTTACTACAACAGTTGATGGATATGCTCTCAAAGGTCATGTGATCAAGAATATCTCCTTCAAAGCTGCTATTCATCTGCACAGTCATTGTAAAAACCTATGTATAATGGAGGATACCTGTGTATCTATCAATATAGGTCTCTTAAAAGGCCGATTTCTTTGCCAGCTGAGTAACTCTGACCACATAAAAGATCCAGGAGATCTTGAGAATGAGGAAGGATTCACGTATAGAGGCAGAGAGGGGAGCAACCCGCTCAATAACACAAAGGTAAGCAAATTTATATCAAATTCAGACGATCAGGTCTGCTAGTGGTCGATGCCAGGATCTGTTCGCGTACAGGAGCAGAAATGACTTCATGTTGCTGTGATCTGTCAGAGTACAGGCGCAGCACTGAAGTCACGTTTCTATGCGTCGTTAAAGCGCAAAGAAAACATTTTAAAAGCCATGCAGTTTGAAGTCAGTTCTTTATTCTCCTTGCCGGTAAACTGTTATCAAAAAACAAAACTAGGAAAAGAGGCCCGAAAGTGAAGCATTAAAGAAAAAACCCTTTCTTCTCTCTTTGCCAACATAATTTAAGATAATGGACAGTTTTGGAAATCCAATCTTAATTGGAAGACAACAAGGCAATGACAATTGAGAAGAGCCAAGAAATTTAGCAATATTAAAGAGGGGGTGAATACAGATTTCATTTGGAAAAATTTAATGAAAAATTGATAAAATTGAAAAAAAATACATAGAAAAATTTGATGCAATATCATTGTTTTTTCATCAGTATATTACATCACAGCATTAAGATGGAGATCACCTTTTTTCAGCGTGTAGCCATGATTATAGTACTCAGTCATTTTCTTCTTTATAAGCACTTCTATCAAAATCTAATAGAACAACCTAAATCAAAAAGAAAACATGTTTATGATTAAAGTTGATTAAGCTATACTTTTGGTTTGGTTTCAGAGCGCGTGCCACACCAGCCCGTGTCTAAATGGAGGCACATGCCAACCTGGAATAACGGTTATGGACTATACATGTGTCTGTCAATCCGGCTTTAAGGGAAAAGGATGTGAAAAAGGTAAAAGTTACGTCAGTTATGATAAGTAGCAAAAGTAGTTCGCACGCCTCCGGATCCCCACCCCCTCCCCAGCACCCATTTGTCGGTGGCCGACAACCCTCCGATCAACAGAAATCATGTAATTCATCTGAAAAAAAGAAACTTGAAAGCCCCCTTCTCCCTCCAAACAATATTGCCTGGAATCGGTGAGCAGTTTGATAACATCAATGAAATGGGGGGAAGGAGAGAGAAATGAAATTTACAGAATAAAATTCAAAATGTAATAGAGCGTACCATTTATTGTAGTTAAATATTGCTGACATTGTGTATTTTTATTGAAGCATCGCGACGACTTATAATCAATTCTCGTGAAGTAATCATTAATTTTAATTAGTCGGTTGTTATTGATGCAAGCGAGCCCGTTGTAACATTTAACAATGAACACGAGAAAATTACGCGCTTATGATTGGCTAAAAACGAGTACATTCTCATTTAACACGAGTGCAAATTATAAATAGCGTCGTCTATCTTACCTTTTTCTGATGCTTTTTTCATGTACTTCATTACCAAGTAATAACATGATTTCTCTTGCAACTTGGTGTACTAAGCACTTGTAAATTTTTCAAAGACTACAAATTATACCCGCCCTAAGGGCTCGTGCACATCTGTTGTCATTGAAAATTTTTATTCCTGTTTATCAACACCAAAATGCAATCGAAATCATGTTACTACCTATACGTATAAAAAGGTCAAAATCTGTTTTTTTTTCTTTGCTTATAACATCAGTAGCTTACTGTAAGGATAAAGTTTAGATCATAAAAAGGGAGTATAGTTTCTTTTCAATATATTCTTAAAATACCAAAACTACTTCGCTAGCAAAGTACTCAATTTGCTTAGTATTAGAGTGGCTTTTCCTTTTTCATAAAAATCTTGTCAATGGTTTTTGTGATGTGTTATGACCATAGAAACCAAAAGGCTGTTTTTATTTTCTGGCTTGAAAGCTCCGTTTCCTTCCTGGTCTTGTCCCAATCTCACCCCCTCAAGTTTTAACACAGTGAGAGAGGTCTTAGTAAAATCTAACCCTTGGTAACTGACATCTAGGTTTCCTCACTCAAGATTGGTTTTGTAGAGGTAATAACATGATTTCGAATGCAATTTAGTGTTAATAAGCACGAGTAATTTTTTCGAAAGACAACAAAATTGCACGAGCGCGTAGGGCAAATGCAGTTTGTTATCTTTGAAAAATTCCAAAGCGCTTAGTACACCAAACTGCAAGAGAAATCATATCATTACTTGTTAGTAACGTGTGCGACAAAACATCGCAGAAAATCGAGATAGACGAAATGTTTGCAATTTATACTCATGTTACAGCTTTGCACTCGAGTTTCAACTTTGCACTCGCGTTACATGAGAATGCATTCGTTTTTAGCCAATAAGAAGCACGTAATTTTTTTCATGTACATTATTGGATCAGTTATTCTGCATATTTCAGGGTTCAACGCCGTATTTACAAACCTGAACAGAACAGGACGCACTGGTCCCAAATCACTTGACAATCATTACGCAGGTCAGGATCACGATGGACAAGTTTCTTTGTCGAGAGGTATTCAACTCTGGACTGTGCCTTATTCTGGTCACTACAGAATAGAAGCAATTGGAGCCGCAGGTGGTTACAATGAGCAGCGCGACGGCATATACGCCGAGTATCGAGGAAGAGGTGCAAGAATAAGTGGAACTTTTGTATCGATTAATGGAGAAATCATTCAAATTCTCGTTGGCCAGGAGGGGGGCAAGAGTGAACGCACAAGTAGTGGAGGGGGTGGATCTTTTGTAGTCAAAGAAACAAATGACTGCTTGGTAATTGCTGGAGGAGGTGGTGGTGTAATCGACCCGCAATCAAGACATGCAGGATGTGATGCCAGTGCAAACACAACGGGGAATCCTGGCTATAGATCATGGTCGGGGGGGAGCAATGGACATGGTTCCCAGACGGTTGATGATTGTAAAGCAGGTCAGGGTCTATATTATAAATAAAACGTGACGATCAGTAATGGTAATGGACTGAGTGGAGTCCAATTCGGTCTGTAATCATACGAGTGATAACAAAGTCGGACGACTGGCAGCGGGAGTCTGTTTTGTTTATCAGGATTGATTACTCAAAAATTACAATTACCGAGAAAAGAAGAATGGCCTAGTTATGAAAGACAAAGAACATTTGTCTGTACACTGATTCTATGGTTGTTGAGTTCAAGGTTGTGATTGGTTGATTTTAATTACAACTTTGAATATGATTGGCCTATTGAACTGTCCAATACTAACAACTTGGCAAGTGAATTAGTGGAAAGTAGGAAATTATCAAACCAATCACAATCGAGGAAATTGTTATCTTAATGATAACAACGGGAAGACTTCGATTAAAAAATATGTAGTTATAATTATCGTTAGAATCTTATTCGAGGATGCTTCCAACTGAACAGTTCACTTAAGCTGTTGTTAGTCTGAAATCGTGATTATTTACACCAAATTGAATCCGAATTTGTTTGATTACCTATACATATATCACTAGTATTTGTTATTTGATGTTCAGGTGGCGGTGGCGGAGGTTTTTACTCAGATGGAAGGAGTGGACTGGAATATGGAGGAGTATAAGGAAATGGCAGCGAAGGTGGCAAGGCTTTTCTCAACGGAGGGAAAGGGGGCAGGGCCGCAATGCCTATTATGTTCGGCGGCTTTGGTGGCGGTGGTGGAGGTACACAATATAAAGGGGGTGCAGGCGGTGGAGGGGGGTACTCTGGAGGAAGCAGTGGGGCTGGTGTAAGCGATTCCTGTGGGGGTGGAGGTGGATCGTTTAACTCGGGAAGAGATCAGCAGAATGAATGTTGTTACAACTCAGATGGGCATGGTCAGATGACCGTAACATTGCTGAAAGGAAACTAGCAGTTTACCGTACTAGGGCAACGGAACGTACACTATATGCTACGATATTACGTTAAAGAACAGACAAAAAATACGGACAGTTTCTGTTTTCCCTCGCCCTACACAGGGATTGGAAAACATTCACGCGTATTATTCGTGAAACCATCGAATAAGTTGTAATTATTGACCACTAACGTAAAGAACGTAGAGATGAATCATTACTGGCGATTAATTTCAATGAAATGCGGCTACGGCCTTGGGAAGACCGCACATACCATTGATTTGAATATAAAAGAGAGATAATTCAAAGTTCTAATGGTGTGTGTAGAGATTTGATATGTTTGATCACATGTTTGAATAAAAATTTCCTTTACTCGAGCCCTTCGGCTGCTGCCCTTTTTAATAACATGTGAAGGTAAACTTTACCCTCGGAACGTGTAATCCTGATGCCTTATTAAAAAAAAGAATAACAGGGAGGCAACGCCAAGGAAGACATCGATTGGAATTTTCATCTTCCTTTATAAGTTTGCAAATGGCTGGACGTGTTTACCGTCTCTTGAGGCGCCCACTTCAATTCGGTCAAACGTGTGGGAGCAGCCATGAGTTGAACATGGAAAACATGAATCATTAAACGTCGGGGTTAAAGTTCTCAGACCATGCAAATTTTTGATGATTTCAACATGTTGTTTTGCACAGGACGGCTAAGAGACATGTAAAGTTTTAAAACACACGCGCTGAGGCATTTTTCTGCCCATTAGATATTTTGTTTTGTCACTTCCTCGTTATCGTCCCAATCGTGGTTTGACTTAGTTCCTTTTATTATGACTAATTAAGAGCCAATTATTTTCCGTCCGGCCCGACCGACCTCAGTTAGTAATTACATACATTATAATTTTTCAGAGGTTGTCGAAAAATGCCACGACGGCTATTGAACTTGACGACCAGTTTTGTCGATGATGTTTTCGCTGTTGTTCCGTAATTTATGGTTGATAAACATATCCTATAAGACATTTTGTGTGTAACATTGCAAAGTATTTTTACAAATTGTGCCGTATATTTACAATCCTGCAGGGCGAGTCAAAATAAAAATAACAAGTAGATATACCAAGCGATATCACACACCAATCCGTCCACTAAGTTACTTTTATCCAGCTGATTAATTTTATGACCATTTCCTATAAGGCAACGACGAAAAAAAATAAAAATAGAAACAAAAAGCGGTTTTTTGTCAGGTCTTGTGTTACGCTCATATCGTGCATGCACATGAGACGTCAACCTGTCAAATAGGGTTTTACAACGATTCAATGTTGAGATACAAAGTGACATATTATCAATGACAACTGTTTGAATAATTAATTTATTGCCAGTGGAAAAAAACAGTATGCTTAAAGACAAACTCTCAAAGACATGAATGAGCTTTAGGTATTTGACAAAGGTGCTTAATCAGAACTTCAAAACTACAGTTCTTTTTTCATCATCCACCCCAATCACATGTCGACAATGCTCCGTAGTAGTCTGCCGCTGATACTTGGTGAACAGATGGCTGTTAACCAAGAGCGATTTTCAATCCATTTTCATTTCTTCTTTGATACAATTTCAAACAGTTTTTTTTTCGCAGCGCAAAGTAATCAAATGTCTAAAGATCGCTTGATATTTTAACTGGATTCGCCCATTATTTGTACTCAACGAAGCGAAGTTGCTCGTATCATGTCACGACTCATTTTTTCATTTCCTGTGTTTACTTAAAAAAAAACATCTGTCCATTATGCATACACATAAGGGACACAGAACACAAAACACACGATAGCTCTAAGCAGTGTTGAACCGTGTAATTAAACTTTTACAGCTACAGATCAAGTACACAGAAGAGGTACCCATGTTTTATAGCATCACCTACGTACTATTAAAAAAATGGTTGTGTGTTCTTCAAAAAAGCGTGAGTAACAGAAAGTTTGCTTGAATTACATAAATATTTGATAAGTTGCGTGTGGCCGTTTTTTGCAAGGATCCAATTGCTAATCAGTTGGTGATAAGTATATTTCTGCTTATATCGACCATTTTTTCACCTCGGGAAATTACGCCCAAAAGTAGTCATGAACGCGTATTTTACAGCTTTGCCTTTGTTCTTTGAATTTGTCCTTTTATTTGGAACTTGGATGTGTATACCCGTAGAAGCCAAAAATCGCGGTAAGTAAAATTAACAACACCAACAAAAAAACCTCAAAAAACACGCTTTTTTTAAGATTCACAAAAGATGCTCCACCGAAGAACGCACCTATTTTAAGAATATCATAAAACACTCTATCAGATACTAATAAAATTGCGCCCGTGCTTGATTAGCTCAAGTTGTAGAGCGCCGGACTGCCGTGCGTGAGTTCGAGTGTACATCTTCAAGCCCTAGAACGGACAAACACTCAGAGTACTAAAATAACTGGGGAGAATTTGTTGCCTCTGCCATAACATTCGCAAATGGTTAGACATTCTATTCTGTACCTTCTCCACCATTCTCTCTGCACTGGTTAGTAGACGACGTTAAAGAACCCACGCACTTCTCGCAGAGAGTGGGAAACATAACTAACTATGTTGTGGTCTGGCCTTGTCAGTGTTTTAAACCAGCTATGAGTAGAACTGGGCCACTCCATCGAAATATTGCAACTACATACAATACGTATTCACTCAATACATTTTCTTGGTCAACTGATATCGGTCGATTTCAGAGAGAATTCTACATAGGAATACATTATTCAGTGAATATTGACTCCTCCATGATGTTTACATCGGTTGAGTCAATTTGGTCCAAAGAAGGCAACCTTTGTAAAAACCTTTTACGGATCTATGTGTACTTAAGAAATCTGGTCAAACAGAGTTTATTTGAAAAAAAAAGGGGGGGGGTAATTTTCGAAAGGAACTGTGGTGCTGAGTTAGTGGGAGGTTTTACATGATAATTTGGTTTATAATGATAACAGTGAATTTGTCTATCACTTTTAGGATAAAATATTCGACAGCACTTTACCGTTTAAAACAAAGTGAAAGTTAGGATATCAAACTTCAAAATATAAAATAGGACCTACAGAATATGATGGGACCGAATGTCATAGATTTTTTTTTTGAATAAGCATGTCTTAAACTGTTTCTGAAAAGTAACCAAGTTCGGAGCCGTTCTAATCAACATTGGAAGCCAAGCGAATATCGACTGATCGATATTCTCTTGTGAAAGCTTTTTCCTCTGAGGTGGACCAGCAAAGGCAAAAGCTTGATCAGCAAAAGTCTTGCAACTCGTACGAGGCACCTCTCAAAAAGCAAGATTGTTGGATCGCAGAGAGATAGGTTTCTTTTTTCCTGATGCGATAAGGGATATCACTCACTTTGTCACGGCGAAAGATGAGGGGCTAACGCTCGTAACGTTAGCTTTAAAGCTCTTTACGGAGGTCAATTTACATATAAGCTAAGTTGATAACACAAAATTAACGTTTACTTGAACTTACAACAGCTCATTGCGTATCTCTCTTCGGTGAAAGATCTCTCTGAGCCTCAAGTTAGAATAAATAATACAGTCTTTATTTATGTTAGCCTCTTTTTTTAATAATTATCTTCTCGCTGAGATTAACTTATAATAAATTTTACCAAAAAAATGCTGTAATCTGGTGGTCAGTTAAAAGTATTTTGTTTTTCTCATTTTTTTAAATTTATAATTGTAAGTGTTGATTCCTTTACTATTTCATTACCTAACTTCTACATCATTTAAAGAGTTACTTATTTACTTTTTTTTGCTGTTGTTGTTTTACTTTTTCTGCTTTTTTTCCCCATGTACCCCTATCTGCAGGACTCGGGTGTCGAAGTCTACGGTTTGGACAACCAGACAACGGATTCGCTCTCCAAGGTCACTTACTTCGTAATATAACGCTCAAAATGGGAAATGAACTCAGTGGTGATTGTAGATACGAGTGCCTGATGGAAAGTAATTGTGTGTCTGTGAATGTCGGGCCACCCGACAAGAATGGACTCAGGGTCTGTCAATTGAGTGATTCTGACCATATTCAACATCCCGAAGATCTTACGGCACAGGAAGGATTTCTTTACTGGGCTACCCAGGTGAAATAATAGTTACCATGCAAATAGATGAAAAGAGATCGAAGCCAAAAATAGCGAGAGAATCGAACGCATATGGTCGGCTATTTTAACAAAGTTTAGAAGTCGTTGTTTTAGCGAAACCGCGTTCTAAGCCATCTTCAGTTTAGTCGAATCTTTTATCTGAACATTTATTTTTGTGAAAAACGCCAAGAGGGCCGAAAGCTGATAGTGGAAGAACATTTATTTATTTAATTCAATCAACCCTCTGATAGAGAATCCTTGAGGTCCTCTGCTTGCGTATAACTGCGGTTTGGTTTAGACCTGGTGTAAATAAGCGGCCTTTAGTGTTCAAATTGGAGACTGAGAATGCTCCTTTTGGTTTTCTCACTAGAATCCGTGTTCCAGCAACCCCTGTGCCCACGGTGCAACATGTCTCAATGGATTCACAGACAAGAAATACATTTGCCTGTGTCCACCTAAAGCCATAGGTGAAAACTGCGAGAATTGTAAGCAACATTGTAACAATTATCGGTAGTTACGGTTTGGAAGCGTAATCACTTTAACATGAAATCCTTCAAGCTAGTGATTGTGTCATCTAGTTGTCTAAGTGACAGATGAATGACATGTCGACAACCTTAACGGAGCATCGAATGTTTTCTTAACGGACTACGAATTAACAAGCACATCAAGTACGGCATCAATGATGTAATGGTTTTTATTATTATTATGATTTAATTTTCAGCATTCTCTGCGATCTTCTCAAATCTCGGTGCCACCGGAAGATATGGCCCAACAACGCTGGGCAGTCACTACACAGGTCAGGATCATGACAGACAAGTTACATTGTCCAGCGGTATTCAACAGTGGACTGTGCCTCACACTGGTGACTACAGAATAGAAGCAATAGGAGCAGCAGGAGGGTACGATTCACACCCTAATAGCCCTCAGTATCGAGGAAGAGGAGCGAGAATGATCGGAACGTTCAGTATGATTAAAGATGAGATCATTCGTATCCTTGTGGGACAGGAAGGGGGCTCTGAAGATCATGACTGGAGTTCTGGCGGTGGTGGAGGTACATTCGTTGTCAGACAAAACAACACGCCTTTGATAATAGCTGGAGGTGGAGGAGGTCTGCATTACTTGACAAAACGGCATCCAGGGTGTGACGCTAGTACAAACACAACGGGGAATCCTGGATACAGATCAACAGGGTCAGGCGGAATCGGTGGCCTTGGCGGGCAGAGTGGTAATTCCAGCGACGCAGGTGAGGGAATTTCGGGGGGCCTCGCGAGCTGGAGAGCGAAACAGGCGAGAAAGAGGTCCGCTAGAGAAAGCCTGCAGACTTCTCGACACCTCACCCCACCCACACCTCGACTTTCGGGAAACTTTCTGGAAAGCCAGAGGTGTACTTGTCTCAGCAGCATTTATGAAAGCTTGCTCGTAGGCTATGGGAACACTACATTCAGAATGAATAAAAAAAATTCGATTCTTGCTTATGGAAATTGACATCCGTATTATAAAATTCAGGGAGGAATCTTCTCCCACTAAACGATTCGTTTAAATAAGATAATATCAGTTATTATTGTTAAAAAGAACCTTTTTGGTATAAATGGTTTCGTTTCATTTATTTAGCGATTTGTTAATATCTTTTTTTCTATCATTTTTATCTTTTTGTCTGTTTAAGTTGAATTCCCTTTTTATTCTTTTAGGCGGCAGCGGTGGAGGCTTTTTTTCCAACGGAACGGATGAGAACGCAGATGGTGGCAGAGGATTTCTTCAGGGAGGAGTGGGGGGCAAAGGCAATGCGTTAAAAGCCGACGGTGGATTTGGGGGAGGAGGAGGAGCTTACGGAGGAGGGGGTGGTGGTGGGTATTCTGGCGGAGGTGGCGGAGAGATGAACAAAGATTCATGTGGAGGAGGGGGTGGCTCTTTCAACTCAGGAAAGGAACAGAAAAATGAGTGTTGTTACCAATCTGATGGACCTGGTCAGGTTACGATAACATTACTGTGAAATCACTGTATAGAATCATTAATGGAAATTATTTAATCAACCATTAAAATTTCTTCAAATGTGATTGGTGCGCTAACTGCTTTAATTTTCACTGATTTTTTTGGAGAGATGTAATCAGACAGTATGAAGTAGTCAATCATACCAAATCTACTCAGCTAGATCCATCAATCACAGAATTGATCACAATAACCAAATATCACTCATTTGAAGGAAAACTGGGAGTTTCCAGGATGGACGGATTGTTAACTTTAGAGATCTTTGGAGATATTTGTTCTAGATGTGTTTGTTTTTTCGGAAATTGTAAAGGCTACGATTAATTGATAACAGGACTTCGTGTCGTCCATGTCTGTCTGTTATCATACTTGTGATTAACAAATCGCAGCTCTGAATTTCCAGTCATTTAAGGTAGTTGAAGCGAGAACAAAAAGAGGTTTTAGATCCCTTTTAGAGGTTTTGCTTGTGATGTTTGATGGAGAATGAAGCATGGCAGCTGCATTATAGAGAGGTATCCAAAGTTTTCTTGAAAATGTAATGATGAAATTCCTAACAATATGTAATGTAACTTTATTTACAATGTACGGAGGTATACTTTAATGAGCCTGTACGGAGTAATTCAGATTACGCATTAAAAATTAATATCGCTTCTAAGACCCGAGAAGTGCATCCTCACTGTTAACTATCTAACCTCGTTTGGAACGAGTTCCCCAAGATTCACCGAAGCAAGAAGGTAAGCCACTGGCTAACTGTGAATTTCACCTTTTCATTTTTTGGGGGGGATTTATGTAACTATCAAAATGGAAATACAAAAACAAATGAAGTATTAAGAAATGAATCAATACGAGCAAGACCAAAATACAAAAATTGTCTTAGAAAAGTTTTAAATCCTTGTAACCTGTCTCTCTATAAAACTTTGCAAAATTAACTTTTAAATAATGTAAGAATAGAAATAAAGAGAGCCTTGTAGTAGACGCAAAAAAATCATTAGAATTACGCAGAAAACCTTTCCAAATTGTCAGCGCTTCGCCCGGTAAAACCCCAAAGTTTCTGATAATACCAATCAAATATATAAGAAATCTTTAATTTTAGCAATATCGCCGCTTGAAAGGCTTTCCTGGACGTTAAGTATTCGCTGTTTATTTCCTTTTCGTCTGATTAATTTTTCATAACTCATAAATTGAGCATGAAGGCAGACCTAGTTTGATCTATTTTGATTTGAGTTTTATAAGTATCTTGTATTCATATGGAACGTGATCCACCGGAGTCGCTGATACGAAACCCATCAAAAATAAACGCGCAGACTCTCCTGGTGACAATTTCCGTTCAAGGACGTTGCTTCATTCATCGATAGACTAATAAGCAACAATAAATTCTTACGGTGTACGTACTTTTAATTATGAGTAACCAAAACCAGGCTACTTAAGTGTCTCAACATGGCACCCTACCAATTTGCACTGGCAATCGGGATATACATTTTTTTACTTATTTCTCAGCGAGATATCTCAGAAATTAAGTTTTACTCTAATTTTCGTTACTAAATATAACGCAAACGCTATATTTGGTGGTGGCTGACAGTAGATTTTGACTGGATCCACATTCCAACGGAATCAGATTTTGCTATATCGAAATTAGGAATATGAGATATTTCTTCATGCATGGTTTATTTGCTGTGGACACGGACCAGTTTGGCTAATTTTTATGAAGCAGTGTCTCTTGCTTTCATTAAAAGAAATTCATGTCCAGTGAAGTTTGATTTCGAACGTCACGAGGCAGTAAATGTTTCTGGTCCAATTCTCAGGCGGTGCGCAATGTTCAGACCGCCTGCTTACCAATACATCCACCTCTTTTTATTATTTTCGGGCTGAGCTCCACATCAGCTGAGTTTTTTGTTGGAAAAATGTACCTTGTGCGACGGGATTGTATGATTGCATTCTTCTTTATATACCAGCTGCCCTTATGAATTCTTCCGTGTCTTGTCGATCCGAACGTTCCATTTATGGGATGATGCTCCACGGACACGCATTCAAGAAAACCAGGGCAGAAAGCTTGACAGAGTGTGTGATGGCGTGCAATAATGGTGCCATATGCTAAAGTGTAAATTACATCATTAATGAAGACGTTTGTGAATTGAATAATCGCACGAAGAAAGCCAGACCAGATGACCTCGTTCTCCACGAAAATAGCATATATGTGACACGATTTAGTGAAAGAGGTATTGGTCGAGGTTTGAGGGTAGTCATGTAAAGGACACTTGTAATTGAGGCTGACGGTTGCTCACGTTTGGATGATCTGAGTAGAAGTCATCGTTATTGAATCTGATAATGACTCTCTTTTTGGCTGTCAAAACGTCTTTCGCTGTTATCGGGGTCGGTCCTCTATACATTTCTCACTTAGCCGGTTAGACTACACGACACGAAAACATTTTACTCCTGGGTTCAAAATATTTACTGCAACAGTGATGTTATTAACAGAATAGAAATATATATATAGCCAAGGCTATATCGTCATATCCCTGCATTTCTAAAGACTTCAAGAAGACTGCGGGACGAGCGTTTCTTCGCCTGCAGGAGAGTTTTCGAAGGCGCAACGATGGCTATCAAAAAGGCATCATTGCTTTGTACTTACCTTAATCATGGCTATTACAGTTTCCTCAAATCTGATCGGTGCCTTAGCTGTAATCGGCTGTATTTGGACAGTTGGCTGTGATCGGACAGTTGAAGCAGCCAATCATACTAAGTCCACTCAGCCAAATCCACCAATCACAGAATAAATCGCAATAACAATAGAAACAATCACTTATCCTAAAAGAACTGAGGAATTTCCAAAATTAAGAATTTTTTCTTAGTTTAGGCATTGTCTCCACCGGAGATCTGTGACCCAAATGTAGTTGTTGTTTTCGGAAATTGTAACGGTAATGATTAATTGGTATCAGAACTTCTTGTCGTATCACCAGCCCGATTTGAGCACTAATAGGAAAGTGTACGCTTGTAACTGGACAGTGTAATAGGACAGTTAAAGGGACAGTTAACTCGTCATCCCTGAGTAAGTGGACAGAACACGTCATGTGCGCGCGCTGTTGTCTCGCATTTCGTAGAGTTAATTGTTATTTTTTACGAAAACGTATAACCGATGTGCAGTTTCTTTCTAAAAAAAAACAAAGGAAAATAATATGGTTTGAAATTTCGTTGGACTCTTGTGTAGGAACCTTCTTTTCAAAAACATTATGAGATTGGGTGAGTAAAGCGCTTTCTAATAGTTTGTCATGACATCGATGTGAAATTAATCGTAGCTCCTCCCCCTCCTTCTACTTTTCTTTATTCAATCACCAACCTGCTTGATAATGCATCATCCAGGATTGCGAAAAGATAAAAGCCAAGAGCTAAGAGGAATCTAGCAGTTCGAAAAGAGAGATCTACGTAGTTTTCTTCAAATACAAGTGCACATCACAACTTTGACAGCTTGGATGCATGCTCTCCATATATGTGTAGCTCCTGAAAATGAAGCAAATCGCATAGCTGATAAAAATTCCTTACAGGGGTAGAGAAGGGCGAAATCTCATCGGTTTTTCTGCTCCCTTCCCTTATGCGAATGGTCCCTAACCAAGAGACAATTAACTGATATTCTCTTGTATCTATCGACATCAAACTGACTGATTCCCCTTTACAGGACCAGTTATTTCTGTTATTTCTTTAAGAGACTGATAACAGAAATATGATAAAATTATCTTACAGGTCTTAAGCTTTTAAAAGTGAGTAGTTTTATTACTTCTTTGTAGCAAGTAAGCAAAGAAATCACCCTCGCAAGTGGACTGCAATTTAAGGAATTGCAGATAAAGAGCTCGAAAAGAATTCAGCTCTCTACGGGATTCGAACTTATGCCTCCCATTGGGAGCTCACGTTGGGAGTGAGGCTTGGTAGCTCAGTTGGTAGTACAGTCCAGTGAGTATTGGGGAGACATGGACTCGAAACTGCTGAGGCCGGGATTTTTCAAGCTTCTTTTGAGTACTTCCTTCAAAATGCAGTCAACTTGGGTAAATTATTTATTTGCTTGATTTTCATCCGCAGTTAAAATGAACTTTATTTCGTCAAAAAATTGTGTAAGAGGTGCGGCGTGATACATGTAGTAAAAGCTGATATTTTACAGTTCCATTTCTAGGTAAGTAGCCTTTTCAAAAGGAGAAGGATGATCAAGACGCCGAAAGTTAACAATTACTAATCTAGTAAAGTAATGCGATTCTGAGGGCAAATTTAATATTGTAAGAAAAAACGAGAAGAATTCCAATTGTGAATTCTTCATTAATTTTTCATGTATTGTGCAAAAAAAATAGAAAAATCATCCTAAATAAAAGCAAAACGTTTGCAATAAAAAAGCTGCAGTAATCATCTTTATTGGTTAAGACGAAAAAAGTTTTACTCAAAATCGTCAGATGGTGACGGAATAATACAATAAGCATAGGCATTAGCTTTTCCTGCAGCTTCATGAATCTATTTACTTTTATACACAGGCAGCGATCGAGTTGTGAAATAATTATGAAATTCTGTGGTGTTTGAAAAAGGTTACGGCTGACACAAAAAGACCAAAGAGGGTAAACAAACAAAGTCCTTCCAGATATCGATCAAACCTACCAAACGCAGCTTATATTGCCGTGTCTCTCTCTTTGTCTTTTAGGCGTTAGTAGGGATCCCCTTCAGCCGCACATGTCTCAAAAGGCTGTCAACCGCTGGTTCCTAGCTGTGACTCTCCTACGCAACCCATCTCTTGTCAAGTACCGCCGCCAAGGCCGCCATTTCACGGCGTCTGTTGTGATTCTTGGAAGCGTCAACTTTGACGTTCCAGTGTAAAACTTTGAAACTTGCCTAAAAGGAAGAAGACTGTTCGCTCTTTACGGATATCTTCTACAGTTCGGGGTAAAGTTAAAAAAATTGTAGGGGTCTCCCTCGTTAATTACCACAGAATGATATAGTCTGTATCTGGGTGTCGTTGTTCTTTTTGTTGGTTTTTAATTTTTGTTGAGTCATAATATTACTCCTCTAATGGAAACCGCCCTAAATTCTGTGCTAAGCTTTATTAAACACGTAGACTGTGATAGAGTGTTAAGCGAAGAAGCACACAAAGTATTTATAACAAAACAAAAAAAATTGTAGATTTTCATGCTGGCTTCTGAAATGGGAATTATGTTATCTGGCTAACATAGAGAGGCAAATGGTAGCATTTGCAACCGAAGATGAATTTTTTTTGTAAATAGATTTCTCTGTAAACGATGATGGATTTTATCTATTATTTTATTTTCTTTGGTACATTTGTATTTCAGATTTCTTTTTTTTTTAAGATAATATATATTAAGTACTGGAAAGTTATACGTACAAAAAAGAGCAAGCAGTTTAAGTCAGGTATATAGGAAAAAAAACAAGAGAAATATAATAAATAAATATTACGGTTTGCCAAGGTGTTTTAAGCAGAGGTTTATTATTATCATCATTATTATTATTATTATTATTATTATTCTCTGTTACTACAGAGCATCTTTACAAAAATATTCAATAAGAAAAGCAAAACGTTGTTGCACGAGTCAAAGAAATGTTGTGAATTAATGAGCTCCGTGATAAGGGGAAAGATTTGGGAAGGGAGGTGTGAGTTTGGAACTGAGGAGCAAAGAACCAGCGGCAAGAAAGAATACGTAGTTAACAGTCAGTTGCGAGCATTTAGTACACAATTGTTTGTTGAAGGCAAATTTCGGCACAATTTCTTTCACACGTGCGAATTATTCATATTTCGATACAAGTCTTGATTCAGACATGGACTAAAAAAAAGGATTCTTGCCTTGCAGGCTACAATTTTGAGAGACTTTGCGCGAAGGGTTGACAAACCGCAATTAACCAGATAAGAAGAGCTCAGGGCAGGCTTCCACGCGTCTCTGAAGCGCTTTCATGAAAATATCGACAGCATTGTAATTACTCCTGCAAAGTGTTGTTCGCTGAACTATCTGCCATTTTAGAATCAATCCAAGAAAACTGAATATGATTCAATTTCAGTCTCCCTTGTCTGACAGCTTGGTACAGTTAGCGAGCTCCAACATAGTGAAGACCTCTGATCTTTCTCGGAAAAAAACTAGCGGAAGTGGAAAGTGAGGTGGAAGTGAAATATTACATTGGTAGGACTACCGGCGAAACTGGATTTCATTTAATTTTGTGCGCTCCTTTTTATCCGAGCGGGGATCTCGGAAAGAAATTGGACCAACTGACAAAGGTTCGACTTTTTATTCCGAATTAGCCAATCAGGCCACGCGAAAAGTATTATTCACCTTTGTGGTATATAGTAAAAACCGCCGTAAGGTGGGTAGATGGAGTAGAATTATGAAGCACGAAGAGAAAATCTGAGCAGACGAAATAAGCCTAAGTCCAGCAATTTCTCAGGGAAATTCTCATCATAACCTTCTGAAATCGTAGCTCTGAGATTCTTGAGAATCCGTCTTGTGATGCTACCCTTGAAACCACGTAGCCATTTACACTCCCAACCCAAACGGGATAAACCGAACCTCCCCCATGACTCTTTTTATAAAATGGTTATAATATATGCTATCGTCAGTAAACATGTTCCGCTGAAACATCTACGTCGTCGTAGTTTCCTAAATCTTGGGTGAAGTCAAAATATCGGGGCTTACAGATTGAACATAACAGGAATGCCCAGTGATCAGGGACAACGCTCATCAATATTTCCTACGCTCGAGAAAGCACACCGATCTAGGGTACCTCCCATGATGAGGACGCTTTCTATAAACAGAATAAAGCACCATCTTCCAAAGTCAAAGGTAATTTCTTTTTACTTGCCTTTTCAACGATATATGACAAAACATCATGTCGCTTTACATGCTAAAGAAGCGTGTCGCGTGACATCCTAAGGAACGGCTGCAGTTATAAAATCTGAAAATATCGAAGTTTATATCTCATTTGATAACGTTATCCTAGGAAATTGGAAAAGGCTGAGGAAATGAAACATAGGTGCGCTCACTGCTTCAAACGACAAGATGTGACAAAACATCTTATCTGTCACATAACGTGCTAAAGAAGTGCGTCGCGTGACATCCTAAGCAATGGCTGCCAATGATCAATACTAGCAGTTATTGAGTCAAAAAATATCGAAGTGTATCTCTCATTCATTAAACCAATTGAAAGAAATGGGCAAATATTATCAAGCAAACAAGACATAGGCGCGCTCACTACTTCAAACGACAAGAAATGGCTTATGCAGGTTGATGCAGAAAATTTTTCTTCCCTTTGTTATTGATTTCCTCTTCCATTCTAACAAAACGTCAAGCGACTTGTTTCATTGTTAGTTTATTGTACTTAGATAATAGGTAAACAATCTAATCGAAGAAACTAAATAAAATCATTTGGCTCCAATTTCCTACCTCGTTCTGAGTTTCTCTCAATGCTTTATAGGCCAGTAACTAAAATTAGAATAAAACTGCTCTTTTTGCCTTTGGACTGATTAATTCAAACAATATACTTAATATGCATAATTTTTCTTGTATAAAAATGACACATTTCATCGCCTTCAAAATTAGAGGAGAAATCTCAGAATATTAACAAATACCAAGACTAAGTCCTGGCCATTACGACCACAATCTGTCACTTTAAGGCCAGGTAAACCAAATTCTGATCGGCAGAAACTAACTTTAAGTACCGATGATTGGGCACAAATCCTCGAAAAGTTCATCAAAATTTCCATCTGACATAAAAAAAAGATAATTGAGCAATCGGACAGCGAGCTTCTTACCTGAGATTTAAAGCTTTTCTCATTATTTTTAATGTAACGCCAGCATGAGATATTGAATGGTTTAGACCGGATGTTACAAGTACTTAGTGTATCAGTTCTATCAAAATTTGGTGTAACGGGTTAAGTCCTCTAAGGTCTCCTTCAGATACAGAAAAGCCTGTTCAGAATAGGGTTGGAATTTATAATGTATCTAACATGCTAAACTTCTTTTGATTATAAGGTTTCATAGGGCATCACTCGGTTGACTAAAAGTTAAACATTACAAAATGGCAGAAGCAACATACTCGCAGATGTGCAGGGGACGGCTGCCAGCATGAGCAGTAGAACAACCTGGGGATTCATGGCAATCTTTATGGAAACAAAAAAAAGGTAAAAAATAATCAAAATCGAATGTAATGAGTCAAATCGTTCCTTTTTCTGGTAAGAAAGTAATCCGCTGATTGTTGTGCTGCTTAGTTAAGTTCTCCCACCGATAAAGGAACGACAGGCAGTCTGAGACTGCATGTAGTTACTGATATAGCTTCTGATACAGCACAATGACCAATTGACTTTCAACCAATAATTCAAAGGTAAAAAATAATCATATAAATAATGACAATGATAGCAATAGTAATAAAAATTCATAGAGGGCTAGCTCGAAAACCTAACGGTTCCCCCAGCCTCTAGGCTCCAAAATGATACAACTATGTTTATTTTGCCTGTTCATTATAATCACTTTTCTTATTTCATTGTAATTCCATTTTTGTGAGAAATAGAGACTTGTTGTTTTTGTTGTTGTTGTAGTAATTATAATAATGATAATGATGATAATGATGCTACTATGGTCACAAGCCATTGAGAAACGATCGAAATTGCGTTTGAAAACATGTTGTGCAATTTGATATTTCACCATTAGAACTTAGAATGAAGATTTTATGTTGACATTAGCAACAATGAAATGTTCTGATATACACAGTGCAGCTCAAAGATAAGGGGACATTGTATAGAAGTACCATGCGCACGTATCAAGCGACATACGTCGACATACTCGCATAAATACGCGTATGTCCTTCTCGTATGGGCCTTTGTTATTCATTGCTCTACCTGTGCTTTGAGTGGCATTGAGTTGTAGAAAAAAGAGATGGTACTGTAAAAGCGCCGGCTGCTCGCATGAAATAGGCAAAGTAATTATGAAAACGTCGTCAATGTCTGTCTTATGATAAAAATATGACTGTTCTTTTTTTTTTTTTTTGTATTTTATTTTGTTGTATTGTAATTTCTGATCACTTACACCTGTATAATAATATTGTGGCATTTCTAATAAACTTGTAAGGGAGCAAAAAAAGGAACACTTTACCTTTCTTGCACTTGGCAGTGATCTGACTCAAAACGCTTGTACAATCTGAAAAAGTAAAACATAATCAATTAAGAAATTGGAGTTCGTATCAAACTGAGAAAACTAAAGAATAGAAATTGAATTATTCATAAATACATTTTGATTAACTATGTTACTTGTTCGTCACAGCATTCCTGAAGCCACTTGAAGTGACTTCTGAATAGGCAAGCTTAACGAGAATTTTATCACCAATCTGCTCCTTACAGATACTCATTCCAACAAGGTAAAAGAAACTGAATTCGACAAAAACCGAGACTTCTTGATATGACATTTGATAGAGCATTGTTAAGCATCAAAAGTTCAACGCGTTTCAAATGAGCAATTACCTTCGATGCAAGGTGTCTTAGAGAGAAACCCTCCGAGAAAATAGATAGTTACTCGCGGGAAAAAGAACGTTCTCTTGAGATAGAAAAGAAAATGATAATAGTCTTTAAGTTATTAGTAGTTAGCCGTTTCCTTTAGAACGAGCGGCCAAGAACAAATAATGTAGATTAACCAAAACATAATAGCTAATTTAACCGACAGGTGCTGTAAAGAAAAATGTCCAACAAGTCTTTTTTTCAAATATTATAGCGCACGGTCGTTTCCCGTCCGTTGATTGGATTACCTCAGAATTGCATGATCTCTTCCACGGATTTTTTTTTCCCTCTAATGTTGTCTTGTTTTCTTCCTATTTAATGTACTATTTTAAGACAAAATATTTCAGCAGTTTTTTCTTTTTTTGTCAAGAGGAAAACAGGTAAATGTGCGAATATAATTCAGCTATAACGACCACTTAGATCTAGAACTATAAAAGCAACGCTTATTCAAAAAGCACTTTATCAGAGATAAAACATACAGAAGCAAAGTACTCTAAAAAAATTGGCCCAAAATGCTAAATATACCGAGATAATGGTATTAACACAACAACACTCTTATGTCCGTCGAAGTCGCCCCGTAATCAGAATTAGAATCAGTACTTGTATGGTACTAAAAACCATTAGCTTTAAAATAATTATTTAACAACCGAGTCGAAATAATAGAGATGATGATCATCGGCGATGATCAATTATACACGGCACATCATCAGCAGGTAACAACTGAATTACATAATATTTAGAATAACCATGTTTTCAATATTCCACACGGAACAAAAATAGCCTAGAAAAAATTACCTTTCTCTAAGGTGTCTCTCTGAGAATGAATAGATTCCTGCCGAACAAAGTCGAAAGTCGCTGAATATAAATATTCCTTCCGTGATAGCAAAAACCAAAAAAAGGAAGACGGTGCCGTTAACTTTGCATAAAGATGTATTTCAGAATCCAATTCTCTTTAAATGTTGATGACCTCACCTCGAATAGAGCAAGTAAGAGGGCAAGAAAATTATAAGCTTGCAACCATCTGGAGAATGCAATTAACTTCTGAATAAACGGGTTTCTATAAATATAATTTTATTATCACTTGGTTCCGTAATGATAGTCAATCCAACACGTTAGAAAATTCAGATCGAGAGTAACTGAGGCATCTTATGGTTCTTATGAAATTTTTTATAACACTGTTAAGAATAAAACGTTCAAGGCGTTTTAAATGAGCAAACACCTTTGACGCTGAATAATTCTAAGGAGAAACCCCCGTAAAAAAATTAGATAGTTATCAGATAGGTAAACACTGCTCTGTTGGGATAGAAAAGGCGAGAATAACAATAACAATCGCAATAATGACGATGATGATACATGTAAATAATAAAAATACTAATAACCATACTAATAAAATGATTAATGATAATCTATAGATGGGTAAATTCTCATGTAGCTTTAATGTTTTCGAATACCGTTGCTGATCGGCAAATTAGCATAATATTCTTCTTGTTGATCAAAGATTAGAATCATGACATCATCATTGTTTTGAATCAGCCAATCAAGTGAGAGATCCTTGAAGCTTGAAGCCATTTGGTGACAAATAAAGTTTAGTGGCGTCATTAGACTGTTTCAACCGTCAGCTGTCAAGCAATTTTCCCATTTCCAACAGTTTCTAATTTCCTTTCTCTTTGTCTTTCTTCGTTTGTTTTTTGTTTTTGTTTGTCGTTTTAGTTTGGTCTCGTTTTGTTTTTCAAGTGTATATTGATTCGTCTTGCTTTTTCTATAACGTTTCTGTTCATTTTTTAGACAGTTATCAGTAATTGGCAAGCGTTTATTTGCGATCAGCGGCCTTCCTTTGAAGCTTTATTTTATCCTTTTCGCTTGAAAACATGAAAAATGAGCATTGCTGCCCCTGAACTCTCAGCTTGAATTCTTGGCTGTGCTATCAGGAAATCACAAATGGAAAATTAGCGTTTTCATTCAAACTGTATCAGCGTGAAAATTATTCGCGCTATGATATGTATCGCTCTCTTTAAGAGTATTTTTTTTTTCAGAGAATGCTTTATAAGTTGCATTGCTCTCAAGGCTCTTGAGTAATTGCGTCAAATTTAAATCAGTGTAAGCTCTGTTTTAATTGATTACGGCTTTGATGTCGAGAGTCTCTTGTGATTTTTGAGATATCGCATAGCAAGTGTAGGCGGATCTGCACTCAACGCCTGTACTTAGAATGACTCGCCGAAGCAGTGCACTTTGTTTTCAAAACAGATGGCTGTCATTTTTTGTAAGATTTCAGGACACATTTTTTTTTTATTTCAAGATGACAACCCAGTCGCATCAACTTCCTTCTTGAATATATACTTCCGAATTCATACCTGTTGGTATCCATATTTGATTTAATTTCGCCTTATATCGTATTTCTGTCAATCGTTAATTAGCGACTTAATTATTCCTTGAATTTTTAAAATCTAAGGACATATCTCCCCGTTTGAAATTTAATCGATCTTTTTATTATTCCAAGTTTGGAAAGAAGAAAAAGAATTTCTTTGTTGAATGAGAAGATATATTATGGCTAAGACAAACCATAGGCAGCCTCAATATCACATATTTTTGGATCCTGTCTCTTGTGTTTTATCGTCAACCGATCATTAGCAAGTCTTGACACGTTCAAAGTTACAAACACTTGTAAAGACAACATACTTGACAAAATATTCTAGAGAGTTTTTTTCCGCACTGCAAATTTTTGGCACGTCAAGAATTTGAGAGGAAATGTCAGAGTCACGCACGCTACGCTTTCGTTTACAAGTACAATTTCGCTTTGCTAATTATTTGCGATCTTTCATCTAGGGATTGAGCACAAATCAGATGAAGGATGACCCAGGCAAAGGTCTGGTTGTGTTATTGCAATAGTAATAATAATAATCATGTGCAATAATATATATATTTTTGATTTTTTGGTTCAGCTGCAAAAATTAGAGACTAACTTTTGCGCTTACGCTAAAGCAATATCATCAAGGTATCTTGTGTGACAGGCATTCAAGCCTTAAGATACAAGTCGGAGTTAAATATATTGTCAAAAGCGATTTCAATCAATTTTATTTCCACTAAAAAATTTGTAAAATTCCGTGCAAATCTTGTCAATTTTGCGAAAGTTCTTGATTTGAACGATGTTTTCGACAACTTTTCGATATGAAGAAATAAAAGCACTTGCTGTATTGATCACACGGTGAGCCTCTAGTTCTTCTTTTGTTTGCAAATAAATCACACAAGAATGCTTGTGGAAAATCAAATAATTTTATTTGTCATGCAAACCTTGGGTTCAATAACTCGCGCGGCTACAGAAAGTGATCACGTGAGGGCGAGGAAGCCAATTAGCTGAAACTTGTCAGTCAAACAAATTAGACCTCTTGCCGACACTCGACTAAGCTAAGTGAAAAGATCAAAGGTACTTCAAAGCTCGTGTGCTCTAAGATGAGCGCTCTATCCAATCTTGGGCCATGTTTATGGAAAAGTAAAATAGCGAGTGTTGTTCATTTACGTATGCTGAAGGAAGAACTGGTGATTTTCAACTTCGCTCATGAAAAGCGCTTATCTTAACACGGTGTCAACAGACTCACCGCCAAATGGCTTGTTTCGACCGCGTATCGTTGGGTTTTCTTTTACATTTGTGCCTGTGGCCTTTTCATCGAGTGGACGGCACCGTTATTAATATTTATTCATCGTTAGAGCCGTATAGTATTTTAGCTAATTTAAGTAGACCGGGATGGACGAATTACACGCTTGAAGCATCGAACACCGACGAACACGTTACTCTTCTTCAAATTCTGTCTATTGTTCAACAAACGGATTATTGCGAATGATTCGCAAGCCAGACTGCACATCTCTACAGCTCAATTCGTTTAATAGTTATGTATCATCGACTTCCAAATTTAGTTCAGCAGAGAGGACTCAAAGACCTCTGACCGTGACAATTTTTGGAAAAAACTGCTTTAGAAAGCTTCAGAGAAAAGTGTCTTGGACCGCTTCAGTCGGAACACGTGTGCTTCGATTGAAAGACTTCATTCACGAAGAAGATCCTGCGTCGCTAAGGCTTAGAGATACACCATGGAGAAAGTATTTCAGATTCGACGCCAAATCCGATTATTTGGTGCTTCGAAAATCGTTACCTAGACTTCAAGAAAACACTCTGGTAGTGGAGTTGGTATTTCCGGTTGGTTCTAAGAATGCGAGTGGAAATAAACAAGTTATTGTAGCGCGACTTGAGTTGTTTATCGATAAAAACGCAAACAATTTTGCCAAGAAGGTACGCCGATTTCGTCGTCGACCACAGAAAACAGCTCCCCGTTTCTCCAGCTCTCAGTTAATTGCTAAGGTTAGAGAAAATCGTCCCGTAGGAACAAGCGTTATTATGATTCAAGCACAAGATACGAACAATGGGTACACTGGGAAAATTAAATACTCGATGGAAGCGTCCCAGAATTTACTCAGTCTGTTGTTCTTTGGGATCGATCCTAACACGGGATTAATAAAAACTTCAGCTTCTTTAGATCGTGAAAAGATGCCGACGCACTATTTTCGTATCAAAGCCGAATACGAACAAGATAGATCGTTGTATGCTGAAGCAGATCTGACCATATATGTCGATGATTTAAACGACAACGCGCCGAACTTCGAATCATCCTCCTACAGAAAAGTCATACCAGAGGATATTTATATCGGAGAGACGGTCCTTGATGTGCGGGCACGCGATTTAGATACAGGTTCCAATGCAGATATCCCTTACAACATCATTAATAATAGTGGTGTTAACAGTGCATTTGCAATTGGTCAGAGTAGTGGTTCAATAACTATAGACAAACATCTGGATCGAGAAACTGTACAGCAATACTCCCTTACTGTCCAGGCAAGTGATAGTGCATCCCCTCCTAAGACAGGCCAGGCTACTGTGCGAATTACTGTTACTGATGTCAAGAGAGAATACTCCAAAAAGATTCCTGAAAACATCAAAACAGGGGAGCTAGTTTTGACTGTAAGTGCATCAGATGAGGACTTTGGCACCAATAGTGAAGTCACCTACAGTTTTAGCAGTGGTAATGACCAGGAACTTTTTTCTATCAATCATCTTAATGGTCAGATCAAAGTAAACAAGAAACTTGATTATGAGTACATTCCAGTGCATACACTTTTTGTGATGGCCTAAGACAAAGGCGAGTCACCAAATTACAATGAAACCTTGGTGGAGATATATCTTATTGATGTCAATGACAATCCACCTCAGTTTGTGAATTTTGATTTTCAAGAAATGGTCTCGGAACGTGAGAGTGTAGGACACACCTTTACACATGTTACTGCATTTGACGCAAATGATGGTACAAACCAACAGATCATTTACAGTTTAGTGGAGTTCAATTTACCATTCGGTATTAACAGCCAAACTGGGGACCTGTACCTTACCAGAAAATTAGACAGAGAGACAGTGAATCGATATGTATTTCACGTCAAGGCTGAAGATAAGGGCAGGCCCCCAACGAGCAGCCAAACTTAAGTGACCGTCAATGTGGGAGACATAAATGACAATCCTCCAAGATTTTCAAAATCCATTTATTTTGGTTCAGTGGAGGAGAATGCTGGATTTGGAACAACCATTGTTCAGGTGACAGCTACTGACCCTGACCTTGGGCAGACTACCATCTTTTACAGTCTCCAGATGTCTATTCCTAGTCAAAGACAATGCTTTTGAATTTCTGGTAATGGTGTTATAACATTATCATGTAGACTGGACTTCAGCAAGACTAGATTCTACTCATTAACAGTAAAAGCTAGTACAGTCACTTGGAAAGCTCTGCAGGTGTGCGCATTAATGTAACTGATTCTAACACTCACAAGCCCATTTTCCGACAACGTATTTACCGACAAAGGATTAGCGAGGCTACCGCAGTTGATGGAAGGGTTCTTATTGTCAAGGCAACTGATGGTGACCAAGGATTGAATGCTAAACTGACCTATGCAATTGAACAATCTCTGCGAGACTTTAAAATCAATTCTAAAACTGGTGAGATCACTGTGTTGCACCCTTTAGATTGCAAAACAACTTCACAGTACAGGTTTGAAGTGAGTGCAACTGATCATGGTAATCTGCCGTTTAAAGGAACTGCTAATGTACATATAACAGTAACAGATGTAAATGACAACACACCAAGATTTTTACAGTCCAACTATGAAAAATCCATTCTGGAAAATGTACAGCCTGGAACACGCGTTTTGGAAGTCTCTGCAGTTGATGATGATGTGGGTTCAAATAAAGCCATTATCTACTCATTTGCAAAAAATGGTAAATACATCTAATTTACTGTTTGATATTTCATCATGAGTTACATGTGTAAGTAACCCTCAAATAGGGTAATTTAGTGTTATCAACTGAGTTGGTAACTCACCATAAAGAGTTATAAAGCTGATGTTTCGAGTGTTAGCCCATTGTCATGGCCTTGAGAAAGGGCCAAGGCTTGAAACATTAGCTTTGTACGCAGCTATAAAATTACTTTTTGCGAGTCATGAGCAAGAACAAACCAATTTTTACGCCTAAATGAAAAGTTTCACTTTGAACAATGCATATATGTTCTTCGCTTAGGCAAACTTTTGCTCCAAGCGAGTTACAAGGGGGCAAACTTTGCAGAGGAGATCGTTTTGGTCTTCTGCGGTCAGGTCAGCAAGATGTAAATATTTCCCCAGAGTCATGAAGCGGTGCTCTGGGATCGTTTTTTTTAAGCAATCAACTCCAACAAACTCGTCAGAATCCCAGTACATTGCCAGCTGAGGAAGTTCATGGATTCCAATGAGAATGTTTAGCCCGAGATGCGCTGAAATTTCCGCTTGAGTAGATGTGAATGATCAATCCCCTTTCGAACGAGCGTACACAACGATTTCGTCAATGTAAGCATCGTCGATAAGTACATTGAAGAAATCTTTGGCAGTTGCATTTTCTCCGAGATCTCTGGTCGGGCCACGACGAATGGAGAATTCTTCAACATTAATTTGTCGCAATTAGCTAGACCATTGAAGAGCATTTGGTCGGCTTTCTTCTGCGGCAGATTCTTCATCACTATTTTCATCGCTTCCTTCCTTCTCACTAGCGTATAGCTCAACAGCGGAATCGCTTCCCCTTTCTTGCAACCGTAGGTCAAAAAAGTCTTCCATCTCGTCATCCACATTGCGAAGCAAGTTTTGTTCATGCTGCGCTCAATACCTAGGGGAGTTTTGTTTCTAAGCTACAGCCAATCAAAACAAGCCATTTCTGACAGGGCACATGAGGGCGCATTGGAATTTCAGAGGGGTTTTATTTCTGGGCGCATGAGGGCACTTCGGATGTCAATGGGTTAAATCAAAGAATAATGGATCACTTGCATTTAGTTCTCATTCAATTACAATGGTTCCAAGGGTGTTATTCCTCATTCTTCAAATACTGTAGTGAAGTGGGACTCTCAATAGCCCTGTAGTCTGTCAGTGATCCTTCATTTGGACAGTTTTCACTAAATGTTATGATGGCATTGTCAACATTCAGCAACAAGCAGATTTTTTCTATTTTGATTCTAACCCCTGATTATTCCATGTCAGTGCTGAACAGGATCTTTACTCCATTACCAATTTTTTCAGGTGACTAGGAATGTATTTAAAGTCTAGCCAGTGTTAGGCACCAGTGACCTACCCAGCTAGAGGTTACTCCAGTTTTTACACTAAAAAGTGATAAAGATCTTATTGCTCCAACTGGATAGGTGCCTAGTTAATTGGATGTCTTAATTTAGTTTTGTTATGTTGTAGATGATGAACCAGAGAAAAAGAAAGCCAAGACTGAGAATCAGCCACAAACTTCAGCAATGCCTGCAGCTGTACCTGGGGCCATACCAATGATGCCTATGATGCCTGTGCCGGGAATGCCAGTTCCTCCAGGCTTCCCTCAAATGCCCTTTGTTCAGCCAATGCCAGGTAAAGAAATTGTAGAGGATTTAGCATCTGGGAAATATTTAGATCAAGGAGTATCACTTAATAATAGAATGTGTATTCAATCTCAAGTATTTTAATTAAATTATATGAGTGGATAATTAGTGTTCAAGATTCAATTGTGAAGTGTTGCAATCATAACACAGAAAGCCGGTTATTCAAGTTGATGGGCAATTAAATTACTGGGCCTCTATTTAGGACAAAAAGTGTTTACACAAGAAAGGTTGGTTGTATAACAGGGTGTCAGAGACCATTACCTTGATGAAGTTCTTTTGTTTCAACTGCAGGTGCACCACACATGCCACCTGTCGCATTTCCAGGTCAGCTTCCTGTTCACATGCAGATTCCTGGGTATGTTGTTACATGTTATTCTGGTTTTGAAGTAACTTTATTCAATGTATTAGCTATGCATTATGGTCTAACACTAAGTGACACCGACTAGTCAATTCTAGGGAGAAACTGAAAATTATAATTTAGTAAATGTAAACATTTCAATCAATTTTTTTTTTAACTGTTTGTTCAACATTGAGCTGTGGCATGCAGCCTTAGCATTTTCCTTTATTTTCTTTCCTGAAGCATGCCAATCCCACCACACGGAGTGCACCCAAACACTGTCCCACCAACCAGCACAGCTACTGCCCCTGGTCAACCTCAACTTCAAAAAGGTCCTGTTATTGGGCCTCAGGTACCCAATACCAAACCCCTCTTCCCTGCTGCACAGGTAAGTTAATTTTTTTCCTTCCAACAGGGATTGTCTCCTTTCCCTTCTCTAACAGTAAGTACATGAACATAACTTGTAGTCTTTAGTACTACTAGTGCATTTGTAGAAGTAAACTCTCACAAGTTTGCACTAATGGATGAAATAAAGACCCATGTCTAAAGGAGATATGATTCAAACATACCAGTAATCATTTTCATGTCAAGATACCAATTTAAAAAAATTGTACCTGAATCAAATCTTTAACTCATTGGTGACAAGAGTCTTAAATTATATGTGGCTACAGTAAGAAGTATCAATTTTAAGTTCTCTATTGGTTTCCTTAACCCATTGAGCCCCACACCTTAGAGCTCAGACCACCCCCTGAAATTCCAGAGAAAATGGCTGCTACAGTGAACACACAGACCACTGCCAAAATAATTTAAAATTTTAATGTCTTCATTTCACTCTACTGAAGGGAAACTGCACAAAGTTGCATATTAAATAATATACTTTCCCCCTGTCAAATTTTATTTTCAACTTGAGCATCAGGGTCTCTCAAAAAAAATTCTAAAGCTAGAGAACGGATTCAACTTCATGATGTACAGCGAGTCATTAGCAAGGTTGCCTTCAGCTTTGAAAGTATTTATCAGTATGATGACTCTCTTTTGCACTCTTATTCCATCAGAATCATGTAAAAAGCTTTCCCTCAAATACAACACCAAAAGACAGATCGCAAATTTCTCCTCAACAAAAGGAATCCTAAACTTTCTAACGCGGGTCAATTTTGAATTTGCCCGCCATAGCGACATCGCGACACGTCACAAGGCGCAGCTATAAAATTACTTTTTGCGAGTCATGAGCAAGAACAAACCAATTTTTACGCCTAAATGAAAAGTTTCACTTTGAACAATGCATATATGTTCTTCGCTTAGGCAAACTTTTGCTCCAAGCGAGTTACAAGGGGGCAAACTTTGCAGAGGAGATCGTTTTGGGCTTCTGCGGTCGGGTCAGCAAGATGTAAATATTTCCCCAGAGTCATGAAGCGGTGCTCTGGGATCGTTTTTTTTAAGCAATCAACTCCAACAAACTCGTCAGAATCCCAGTACATTGCCAGCTGAGGAAGTTCATGGATTCCAATGAGAATGTTTAGCCCGAGATACGCTGAAATTTCCGCTTGAGTAGATGTGAACGATCGATCCCCTTTCGAACGAGCGTACGCAACGGTGTATCGGACGATTTCGTCAATGTAAGCATCGTCGATAAATACATTGAAGAAATCTTTGGCAGTTGCATTTTCTCCGAGATCTCTGGTCGGGCCACGACGAATGGAGAATTCCTCAACATTAATTTGTCGCAATTAGCTAGACCATTGAAGAGCATTTGGTCGGCTTTCTTCTGCGGCAGATTCTTCATCACTACTTTCGTCGCTTCCTTCTTCCTCCTCACTAGCGTATAGCTCAACATCGGAATCGCTTCCCCTTTCTTGCGACCGTAGGTCGAAAAAGTCTTCCATCTCGTCATCCACATTGCGAAGCAAGTTTTGTTCATGCTGTGCTTGACGAGCTTGTCGCTTTTTTCAATTTCTTCGATGATAAAACCAGCGAAGACTTCTTGCTCTTCATCGGATGAAAATTAACTTTCATCAATTCTTCCAGAAGCTATGTCTTAGACCACGACATATTTTTGAAAAATTTGTCAAAAATCGCACGGTTAACGTGGAATAGTGAGTTTGGTCTCAAACGAAAGCTTATTTTTTGCATGTCACGTTTCACTACTTTTCAATACCCATAAGCTACAGCCAATCAAAACAAGCCATTTCTGACAGGGCGCATGAGGGCGCATTGGAATTTCAGAGGGGTTTTATTTCTGGGCGCATGAGGGCGCATCGGATGTCAATGGGTTAAAATAAAAAAAAAAGGAAATTGTTTTTTTGTTTGTTTCAAATATTCTTCAGATTTGAAGAGAAATCAAAAGCAATTATCTATCTGAGTACATGTAGTGTCATGTATAACACAGTACCCCTTATTCTCAGAAATGTCACAAAGAAAATGGGATCCTTATTATTTAACAATTCTGTTGTTGCATGGAACATGCAACATCAGTAGGTCCATCCAAAATGCAGAAAAGGATTACTTGTTTTACTACTGGTCAGAGTGAGTGAGTTAAATTTCCAACATTTTGTTTTCTTCAAATGCATACTTTAAAAAGTGATGTAATACTTTCAAAAGGAAGTACAACTTTTTGTTATTTCATCAATTTGTTGATCAGTAGCTGTTTCATTTTCCCCTACTGAATGGTTCCTCTCTACCATGGCTTTGTCCTTTTTTCTTCCATGACCTGTATCTTACAAACCTACTATCTACTAGTACTTTTGTTGGTACAGCTCATTCCTATACAATTTAATAAGGCTCTCTCTCTAAATCTTTTTGAAAACATTATCCTCTTTATTTTTTTCTCTGATAAGAATGTAAATGGAGCTGCAAAATCCAGTGCTTCATCTGGCCCTGTGGGTGCTGACTTCAAACCACTTCTTTCAACGGCCACAGCCACGAGTTATCAAAGCCCACCAGTCACATCAACTGGTAAGTATTTGAGTGTCATTTTTTTCTTCTTACTGAGAAGTATTTCTTGGTTGGTGGAAACTTGAGGTATCTACTTAGCTTGAGACAGCTGTCAAGTGTGACTAGATTAAAAGAAAGTTGTCATTTTAAACTTAAGTAATGTGACTTAAATGACCAAAGCTGATTAAGTTTACTCTTCAGGTAAACCAGTTGTACCACCTCCTACTTCTGCTCCTGTTGTTACCAAGCCTGCTACCATAGTTGCACCAGGAGCAACAAGCCGTTTGGTTCATCCTGATGAAGATATTTCACTGGTAGGAGAGAAACCTTAAAACATGCTTTCCTTTGTTTGTTCTTGGCTAGCCAGTGTTTTGATAACCACTTGTTCTTCTTAAGAGGAAGACGTCAAATTTTGTTTCACAAATTACTAATAAGTAGGGTTGTAACTAGAGGCTTGCAGCTATTGTAAACTTCACCAGTTTGTTTCCAGATGGTGCAGATCATCTGCAAAAGTTGATATCCAGCACCACTTACTTAAAAACTGAAGCAGTGAGCAAATGAGGGGAGTTTAAACTGAACCTGTTTCAACATTCCTATTACAGGAAGAACGACGGGCATCACATCCTAAATATGCACCAAAGACACCCAGTCTCCCATCATCTAACCCTGTTACTATGGTTAGTGCCCCTCCTATGCAGATGCAGGCACCTGGAAGTCATCCAAGCATTGCTCCAATGCCTCTGATGGCCAACTTGCCACAACCCCCTATTTCCATGTCATCAGCACCCACAGGGCCACCACAAGGAGGGCCTTCTCAGGGAGGACCTATACATGGAGGGCCAGGAGGACCCATTCCCAGGGGCCCTGGAATGGGCCCACCTGGAATGCGGCCACCTGGATTTCCACCCCACATGCCTGGGCCACCACCACATCAACAAGGAATGCCACCAGGGATGCCACCAAGGCTTGGTCCACCTGGCAACTTCTCAGGACCACCATCTCTCATGGGGGCACCTCCTGGCCCAGGAGGGCCTCCTCGTGGACCTCCCCCAAGAGGAGGACCAGGACTTCTTGGGCCACACCCTGGCGGTAGGCCACCTATGAGATTACCTATGGGTGCACCTAGACGATTTTAAGATTGTAAAATTAATTCAACTAGGATTTTTCAGAAATGCCAGATAAATGTTTCATCTGAGGGATAGCTGCATGGCATATCATACTACTTGTTTTTGTATAGTTATTCATTCATATAGTTAGTCATTTTCTGACCCCATGCTTACGTTATCAAGACTCAGATGTTGAAAGCATTACCTGCAGTCATTTTTTCTGATATATTCAGTACAACACAAATCAAATTATCAGCATGTGTTCCAATTTAATTATTTCACTTGAATTGGTGTCTATTGTTCTGGAGTGGTCATAAGGTGAGTCTATTTTTACATAAGTAAATTCTAACAGATTTCTTTGCAGTAGTTTATTGAGCATCAATGCACATTCAGAAATTAAAGGAGACAGCAGTAAAATCTGCAACAAAGGAAAAGGATTTTATGTTTCTAAAACTAACAGAGCTGTGTTAAACTAAACAAGTGGAGCTTCACTTTTATTGTTTCCTTTTTCATCTGGCATTTCTGTCAAATTCTTATTGAGCACAGTAAAATATTTTTTCCATGTATCCTCTTTTGATATGAAACATTTTCTCTCCTAAGAATGCTCTGTAATGATCCAAATTATTATCTCTCAGAATGTAGAGTAGATATAATGAAATGTTTGTTTATTTACATTATTAATTAAACTTTGCTCTCAGATTCTGTACAAAAAGGTAGGTGCAATAAAGGATTTTAAAATATCATTTAAGTATTCATATCTCTTTTCTTGTTTTTTCTCCTTGTCTTGGCTAGGGGTAGGTTAGCAGCATGATTTGATTTAAGTAGAATCATATTTGTGTTATGAGGCCAGTTTAGAAATGTTAAAATTGTACCTGAATCAAATCTCATGCTTATATGCATATTAGTTGTGGTTATAAGGAAAAAAATCAACATTTGATTCTCCATTAAGTTTCAAAAACAAAAAATAAATCTACAGCTTTGGTTTATTTAGTCTGATTCAAACTGTCTTTGGAGTTACAGAAAAATTAAAGCAATTATCTAAGTGAGGACTCTTGCACTTTCTGTACCAATGTAATGTTTCTACATATAACTGTTCATGTAGATGTTAAACATTAATTAAATAAAAGTGACTCTTAAGAGCATAGCAAAATTTTGGAAGATAGTAAGGTAGGTGCGGTTTGTAGATTCTGTTTGACTAAACAATTGCTCTTAAGAGCGGAACTTGACTTGTAAGTTACAAAATATTAAGTTATTTTGAAAACTTTTTTGTTTGATTTAGTGTTGTCCATCATATAATTTGTATTTGGATGTGCCAGTGATCTCTTGAAAGCTTCAGAAGTTGTAAGTTCCCCTCCTGCCCCCACCTTCAACTCTAATTCCACTGATTTGTTAGTTCATAAGAAATGTCTCTCTGTTCGGCAGTTAGAAAACATGTTAGGATGCAAATCAAGTAAATCTTCTGGAGTTTCCAATAGGTCACATTAGATTTCTTCACATCTTAGCTGCTAAGGTCATATCTAAGTACCTAGTGATTTCTTACATACTTAAGAATTATTACAGAAGTGCACATTGCAAGGTAGGGTTGGTGATTTAATAATTCATGTGCACTTAGCTTACTCTGGCGGAAATTTCCAACCATATTCAAATTACTGGTGGAAAGGTAGGACCACGTTTTTCAGGTTTGGCTATCTTGAAGTTTTTCATTTTAGATTAGAATTGTCTAAATTATTAAAATAAAAGAGTGGAAAGTTTACTTGCTGTTTTGTTGTTTACTTCTGTATTTATGCCTGTTTATTTGTTATTTTTGTGTTTTTTTCCCATTTTTTTCTATCGACTCTCACAGGCAGGAATAATAAAACGGATAGAGGAGTGGCGCGCTACCCCACAAACGGTGGTGTATTGAATTCTGTCCTGGATTTTAGTTATTAAACTCAACACCTGTTGATTAAAACCAACTTTGTGTTCTCAGAAATGACGTTTTCTAATTCTTTATTTTCATGAAATGAAGGGAGAGATGTTAAATATAAGTGACTGGTATAAGGACAGGATGTACTCGGCCAAATTTTCGTTCACACAACAATTATACGTTCTGTTTTCCCTCCCGCTCGTTGGACTATAAGAAAGGCAATAGTAGTCTTCAACAGTACTGAAGGGGGACAAGCGGATAGGCTAACGAAGGCACGCATAAATGGATCGAGGGTATGAGTACAGGTTAGAAAGGAATATTACAGGACTGCTATTTAAGAATGAAGTCCTACAGAAATTCTCACAATTTTAATTCATCCTAATTTACTTGACCATAACCTAATTACATTTCATGAAATATTTTCAATTACATTCGTACATTTGCGAGAGAAAATTATTTCTCTCTTCTTTCCAACTTACTGATTCCATACAGTATTTTGTTTTTGATTTCTAAAAAGGAAACCTTTTCCAAGCTGATAACATTGATGCTTATTGGAATCTGCATCTTCTGATATTTGTTCTATCGAAGCAAAAATTTCAGCCTTGTTAAATGGCTAAAAGGAGCCATGGAAGAAGCGAGCGAGCGAGCGGCGGAAGGGCCTCAATCTTTTCCTCTCTCCCTAGACCTCGACGTTTTCACTGCTCCTTTTTCGAAAGTCTAAATAATACGGGAACTTTGTCTTGACTGAAATTTTAAAAGATGGGCAATTGTTCACCTTTTTCAGTTCATCCGTCAATCATTCTGCCAATGTCAGCGCTTAGGGTCTAACTTTAACCCTAGCAGCGAATGTCTCGGGTCTGGTCTAATGCGTGGGGTAAGTCTGCTTCGCTACTCATACCTTGTCGCTAGTTAGAGCCTTTTCGCAAGGGAAAAAATACCTGATAAACTCTAATTTCGCCGGTCAGTTGAGCGAAAAACTGTATCTGTCAGTCATTGCAAGGGGTTTGCTAGGGATAGCAAAACCTAACTATATTTTCTCACTGGTTGATCCTTTTAACTCCCAGAGGTGATTAACACGCAACTTCTCTCTATGTTGTCCATACATTATTCAGCCAACATGTATTGAGAATATTCAAACTTATCAGGTAGAGGGCGGTGGTCCTGATCTAACACCAAATTCCTGTGGCTTATTTACAAAGAAATGTGTAGAGCAGAGGGGAGAATTAATCAGATCCTGGGAGTTCAAGGGTTGTTGCAGTGTGACGTGTTATCTATTGTAGAAGTAAAGGGTCACTGGGTCTTCATGCTGACACAAAAACAAGACATCTCTGAACTTATCGATCAGTGTTAATAGCTGAGATCTTGTCAAATTCTCGTAATACATTACTTCTTCCAGGTGATGGTTTCCCCGGAAGTAGGGAATCAGTCTGTTTTAAAAGATAAAAGGATAGAAGCAAAACGTCAGCGAACGTTTCACACTTTTTGTAAAATTGCTTGACATTCTTGACGGACACCCCATGGGTTTTTAGTAAGAGCAGAAATTAGCAATGGTGGGTGCCATTCAACACGATCATTTCTGATGTAACGCTCTGTCATCAAGTAGTATTATGGCTGCCATGTAAAGTAAGTGTCTGCAGGGCGATAGTTGATGAAATTACCACTTGTTCTTCTCCCAAATAGGATAATTTGGTGTTATCTCTAAAACTTACGTTTGGAGCGTTGGCCCTTCGTCAGCATTAGCTCATCGCTCTGACGAAGGGCTATCGCTCGAAACGTCAGCTTTAAAAACTCTTTACGGCAGCCAAATTACATGATCAACTCAGCCGGTAAAACCAAAGTAACATGTTATACTTCCCACGACGCAGTACCACTATTTCTTTAGAAACTTATACCCTCCTCACAAACAGCTTACTTATTCTTTTAATGATTGGTCAGATTTCACTCCTTACCCGGGGGCGATGAGAATCAATTTCCGCCCTTGACGTTAAACGCTGAAGAATCGCGCTGAAATCTTCCTTTCTTCAAAACACAAGAGACCCTATCTTAAACGTCATTCTGTGGCCTCTCCTTAGTTCCTCGCCTTAAAAATAAATCCTTTTCCATGGTTAGCGCAGTTTGCGCTGACTGCACCTTATGCGGAGCGTTGAACATTATTCAAGACTCACCTGGTAAATAGCTTTAAGTCATCCGGGTCACGTGCCGCAGCAACTTGAAGCACGCTTTTCCTCTCTGAGCGCGACAGACCCTTCAGTTCACCTCCTAACTCTGAGTGCCCTTCATTTTCAGCGGGCTCCTGCTGGTCAGCGTCGAAAGACGATGGACCATCTGGGATATTGTTTCCAAATATCCGATGAACCCTTCGTCCCCCTAGACCCAGGCCTCCACTTTGGCCGCTGGACCTCTTCTCAGATTGGACGTTCGGTACTAGGAACACATAGGCGTGCAACTGTAAAAAATAAAGATGAAGATCTTCTCTGAAACAGGGTTCATATTCAAAATAAAAATCGTATTTGGTCCTAAAGCTCTCAATAGAACGATTTTATGAGACGCAAAATTTGTTCACCATTTGCAAGAGTTCATGAGAGGAGTACTCTTGAATTTATACATCTAGACAAGTTTTTACATACTATGGACCAATGAAGTTGTGAAGTGATCGCAAGTTGTTCCTCCAAATTAAGAAATGTCAGAGTTCCAACATCTGTATGATTTCCTAATAACTACCACAATACGCAACCATCGTACAAAAAATGAAATTGATAGGTAAAATGCCTTTAACCAGCTTCGACTTCCTGCGTTACGGTAATTCAGTGAACCGAAACTTGTGGATTTGCCACTGTTATGTATGTTGAATCGCATTGGCCTCGACTATTCATCTTGCATTGTTTAAAATTAGGAAGAGACGCGTAAAACCGCTAATGCACACCGACTTCGCCTTTATTTTTTTCTTAACAAACTATGGGAAAACTCATAGGCTTTGTTACGATGGAACGGTCTCGAGAACTCGACGAAAATGTATTTTTTACATCTTGAGGCATTTTCAAGTAATGCAAAAAATGTGAAACTTTAATACTGTCAGGGTTAGATGATTTTATCATGAAAACTAGAGCACTTTTGGGCTGGACATCGTAAAGTGAAAACCAAAGTAATCAGTCTTATTGGCCAATCAGAAGAAGCAGGCAGAGGGACCTCAAGCGCGGGAAAACACATCTGATTGGTTGAGAAGCAGGTTAGCGCGACTTTTCGGCTCCAATCACTGTGCGCAGTAAAACAAAACCAATGTGATCGCAAACCGTTTTCAACACTCAAATCAAAATGGCTCCAAAATACTTGGATAGCCCTACCTGTGTTATTTAATTTTATATTAGCCACGAAATTAATACCTGTATTAAGAGCCTTCGTTGTAACATCCACACAACCATTTGGGCAGGTTCTGCCTGAAATATTTAGCAAGGAATAAAAACTACCTCAGCCTGACATGATTAACCCTGCCCCGTGTTTAATATGTAAGGCAGGATAAGAAATCAAATTCCAGGGAGACTTGACTTAACGAAGCTTTCATCGAGCAAAATTACGATACCAAACGCTGGAGAGAAAATGACAAAGGGAAAGCAGTTACGAAAAAAACTGTTGATCCTCAAGTTTTCCATTACCCCTGAGCAAGCTTGACGGAGAACGAGACTTCAGTGCGAGCTGATATCAAGACAATTTTCCACGACAAAAATTACAATAGAACTACAAAAAGTTCATTGAGGGCTACATGCAGTGGCAAGTTTTGAGATTTAGCGGTGCTCACCGCCACGCCCCACCGATAAAACAAATATTCTGGTAGCTGTACCTTTTGCTGTGGCAGGCCTAGTGGATTATTGTGTTGGCTCAGAGGAGCGGGTAAAGAAAACTCCGAAAGCACATTGTGAAAAGACATCCCTGGAAAACGCGAGGTGAATTCTTCCACAAGCGGCGACGATCTGGAGAAAAAAAATGCTTAACCGGTGATGTTCAACAAAGAGACAAGGACGTAACTGCAAGTGAGCGAACAAACGCATCGTCAGCGTCAGCGGTTGGCTGATCGACCGCAGTAACGAAATACGGAGCCAAACAGTTCACTTACACGCTTGTAGAGGAATTTGGTGCAACGACATACACGTTACTCTCACAGAGCGGGTAGATGATAGTTGCCATTCCCCAGTAAACCAGATGAGCTGCTATAGCGAACACCTAGTAATATGGAAAAGAAAATAAACATTACGCTGGTATCAAGATGAATGAAACTTAAGTATCAACTGAAGCGATCAGAATACCGACCTGAGATAATGGAATATCTGTGTCTTGTGATAACGTTTGGAAGCTGTGGAAGCAATAATTACCAGAGTTACTCGTTTGCTTTACAGTAAGAAGTCACTCGGCAGTGATCTTCAGGCTTTCCAATTTCATTTAATTCCAATCTTGTACAGCCGCACGTAGTAAAAGTATGTGGGGAGACAGCGTACTACTGCAGTGAGTTCAGTTGTTGAAATTAGGATCGAAAATAAATCTTATCGCTAATGGGGGGTTGAAAGGAAAACGAAGACGAGAAATAAAGAGTAGAGGGGAGAAAGGGGAGAGAAGGGAAGGGAAAAAGGACAAAAACAAAAGCGCGACCGAGGGGGGGGGTAGGAGAGGGATAAGCATCTTGGTGGAGCAGGGGGGAGGGGATGAAGCTGCTTATACCATGGAAGTTGCAAAAATAGACTTTTTTAATTCTGTTTGCTTCCAAGATACATGTAACACTTACTTCAAAGTGAGGAGGCTAAATCAATGTTATTAAATAACATGTGGCATCCCAGGCTGTACCTTTTCAGTGGACTGGCCATTTTCACCAGTCGTGTGATGGCTGGGGAACAGTCCCCTGCGAGGGAGGCCAATAGATACCTCTCGTCCACAAGAAAAAGCAGCGTGTGATATGGCCTATATAGGAGAAGGAAAAAAACCCGACATGAATCATTGGAAAGTAGATCTAGTTCTACGTTCTCGTCTACCAAGATACCGTCATTTCCATAACATGTCTTTACCACTCCCACAGGCATAAAAGAAGCATATAATGGATTGTCGACAACATTCTGAATGACAACGCCCAGGCAAGCGATTTTCTTGTAATTTACAAACAATTGAAACCTAGAGGTAGTTGTAATAGTCCTGAAATCCGAGTAGAGGTCTCTCCTAGAAAACCACACAAATAAGCAAACAAACATACAAAACAAAACTTTCAACCCTGTTATTTATCGTGAAAAATGTTTATCACACCTGATGACTGCAAGGGATTTGTGTATAGCTTCAGGCTGAAAAAAAAAGGACAAATAGAGGGTTGTATAAGAACGTTAACATCTTAAGGCTGTCTCATTTATCTTTGCTACAATGGTCAGCAGAGGATGTTTGAGGACCCATGCAATACCTGAACTTTGGTCTTTACTTAGACTTTGCTGGCCCAGAGAAGCATTTCATTAGACAATTCTAAATTGATCAAACAAGCAAACATACTAAACAAAGATGCCATTACAAGCAAAGTCGACATTGCTCCAAATTACATAACCATTAAAATCCCATTACCAAACCCATTACCTTCTGAAGGTGTTCCATACCTTGATGTGAATGGTTCCCTGGTTCAAATAGTGGACTTTGTGAGGAAGGCAAAAGCTAACATTCACCCAGCCATTGATCTTCAGCCTTACAATTCCAGATGCACATAAACTGAAGTCAAAAGACAAGAAAAGAAGGGCGTAAAGAATACAAAAACAGTGTCATTACTCTGTCCTCTTACTCAACTCTTTACACCCAAACATCAGTATGCATATTCTCCATACTGTTCTCTAAACATTTTTTAAGGTGTTGACAAGGAGAATTTGTTTATCAATCATGAGCTTCTTTAGTTGGTGATTCAGTTCCTTTATTCTCGTGACCTTAAAGTTTGATTCAGGGGTGATATGGTGAGGTAAAATTAGATGCCAGTCACTCTTAGGGGTTTAAGGGATAATAAGAACTAAGGGACTTGTCAGAAATTAGCAGGGGGGGAGGGAGGGTGGAAACAGAGGGGGGGTCACAACTTTTTGAGCCTCAGAAAAGGGAGGGGTCATGAAAAATGGGCAGTTAAAAGGGGGAGGGTCATGCAAATATATGCCCGTGATCATGTAGAGGTTCACCCACAGAAGAAAAAGGAAGTTCTTTATTTGGAAGAGGTGGATGATCATGATGAATGTGAGGTAGATGAAGGGGATGAGGCATTACCCACTTGTTCTAGTGATGAAGACTTTGTATTGGGAGAAATAGGAGAGTCGAGTGATCAGTTGGACTCTTAATGCTGTCATTTAGCATGACAAAGAACAGATTAGAAATATATTTTGAGTTTTCATAATACTGACGCACCCTAGTGTATTGCAAGAACTAGATTTTATCATTTATACAAGAGGGGGAGGGTCATGATATTTTAGGCCAAGCTCAAGGGGAGGGTTAGCAAATTTCACTCCCATTGCAGGGATGGGTCACCTAATTTCCAAACCCAAATTTAAAATTCTCACCCCCCCTCCTCCCCTGCTAATTTCTGACAAGTCCCTAAGAAAGTTAAGTTAACCAAAATGAATACAAAAGAACAAGCCCAACAGGGCAACTTATGACCTTTCAAAAAATGGTTTTGATCTCTTTCTATGGCAGATCATTGTTAAGTGGTACACCCTAAAGAAATCATTTATTGCAATTAATCTGTCATACAAAAACATGGCAAGTAGACAAACCTCTTAAAAACATCTTTTAAGTCCCTTGCCAGCTTGCTCTTGGGAAGGATGTGTTTAAATGGTGATTCTGCACAATCTGTTTTTTTTGGGGTAAGTTTAGCTGGGTTTAAATAATAGTTGTTGAGTCCCTAACACACATTGAATGAACCTGACAAAGCCTTTATATGTGCATGTAACAGAGATAAAGTGTAGGAGAGCATTAAGCTACATTTGTTTTATTTAAGGAGAGTTGGCTAGGAAGGTGTAAGTTCCATTTGAAAATGGTGTTGTAATAAGAACTGAAAAATTGGTTTAATCCTCTGTTTATTGTGTACTTCTGGCTGATAATTATATTTTAATTTAGCACAATGTTCTTCAGAGTTGTTATCTAGTTATATTTGTCAACATACTCTGGGATGTTACAGTGATACACTGGCAAAAGTCAAAGCCTGTAGATAACTTTAGGTATTCTTTAGCACAAGTGACGAGGGAAGGAATGGAGCCTGACTCATCTCACGTGTGACTTACCCTTTGCACTTGCCTCACCCCTACTTCCCTTCCTCTCAAAATTAAGCAAAAAAAATTACACTTATCCTGCAGATTACAAATGTCCATACCCAGGGATACAACAGGGTGAATAGGGAGGGAAAAGGGGAGCCCATTAAAACACAGACCCTTTTCAAAGAAAACACATGCATATCCAAACTAGAAAACTGAATTTCTCTAAGTCGTACCTTCAGGCATGGCTGACATTTCGTCATGAACAGAAAGTATAATTTCCCTTTCAGAGCTCAAATATCTACATCTAGAAACAAGAGCAAGAAACAAAGTTTTGTATATCATAAGTTTGGGTAATAACATGATTACGAATGCAATTTGGTGTTAATACAACAACTAAATTGCACTCGCCTTACTGGATTGTGCAGTTTCGTTGTCTTTGAAAAATTTATCAGTGCTTATTTACACCAAATTGCATGAGAAATCATATTGTTAATTGTTAATAATTCACATGAAAAATGCATCACAGAAGGTCAAGAGCAACAAACTGTTTTCAGGGTGTAGACTATTTGTAATTTGCACTTGTGTTACAACTTAGCACTCATGTTACATGAAAAATGCACTCTTTTTTAGCCAATCAGACACCCATAACTTTTTCATTATATATTATTAAGACTGATAACTGTAGGAGATGTAGATCTCATGTTACTCTCATGGCTGGACTGGTTTTCATTGCATGAATCAAGAAGAAGTTTTGCTTAATGTCTTTTTCAGGTAACCCTGTGTTACCTAGTACCCATTTTTATTCCCATTTTTATTCCAAACAAAAACGAAACAAAGTTCTTTATCCTCTTGATTGGGAGCACTGCTAACCTATACAATCAACTGTTCAGTATGTCATGCAGTACCACTCATCCATTAATTCATAAGGCAACGAAATGACATCTAACACATAATCCATGATTCACGTCTTTATTCAAACAAATTAATTAAAAGCAGTTTCACCAAATCTGGCATCACACATAATTTATGTCCTATATCTGTCTTAGTTTGTGACTTCAATTTACCTTATCTCTTCATGCCTTAGGGCAATTGCTATTCTCTTGGATAAGTCATGGTAACAGTGAACAACAGAAGGTTCTACACTTGCCTAAAAAAATTGATAAGAGAAATGATACACAGTTAATGCTGTTTTCTTTAATAACCATTCAGGGAGAGTAATGGAAAAATAATAGAGATGGTGTCACTTAGAGATGCTGTAGTTCCACTCACAACTTTTAAGTAAGCTGAGGTCACACTATGAACAATCTTTAGGATAGTTTATTTTGCATGCTGATAAAAACTATGAAGACATGTTTTAAGCCTGTTAACTCAGAAACAAGAAACTCCTAGTGCTTTCAATAGGAGTTGGGAGTGATTATTAGTTCTGATGCTTTGTTTGCAAGAAATTATATATAACTCATAATAGCAAGTAGTAAAAAACATGTAAATGTTAATAAAATAATCTGCACCTGGAGTACAAAGACAACATTGAACAGTTTCATCATGACATCATCCTTCCTAGATGAGGTATCACTTCTCTATAAAATAAAATTGACAAAAACACTTAAAGATTAACAATAAATACTTAGATCCACTGATCAGAAGTGATTTGTTGCTGATGACAGCTTTCACATGTGTTTCCACTTTTCTGGGCTACACAAAATGACTTTCAACTAACCCAAAATGGCTACATTTCAATTACCTTGTCCCTGAATAAAAATGCTTGTGTTTGTTCTAAATACAATAAGGACATTCCTAAACATGATTGGTTATCAACCACTCACTTTCAACACTTGAAAGTGTAGACATTGTTACAGAAGTGACTTTTTTTTGGGTTCACTTTCACATGAAAGAACAGCAGCTGCATGGTTGTCAAAATAAGCTGGAAACCAGCACATTTCACTGTCTACTCTAAGAAAGGGGGGCCTGAGCTATTCGGAATGCTTGAGGCTCAATTTTCAGCAGGGAAGCATGTGTCACATTCCCATAACTCAAAATCTTTTTGATAACCCCTTTTGCAACTGTTTTATTGTAATTTATGTATGCATTTTATGAATGGGTGTTTGTCTCTTTGATTTTGTCACAGTTTGATTTAGTGAAAGAATTTTGACTTTACTTTGAGTTTGGTCTGTTAGCCTAATTTTGATTGACAAATCAGACTCTGGCTTTGAACCACTAGTTCTTATTAGTTATTGATATTAATAATGTAATAGGCAGATACCTTGAATTCTCTGTCTTTTCTTTCATAAGCCAGTGTTGGATGGCCCACAAATAACACTTCATCAATCTTCAGCTCAAATTTCTTGCCACATGCATTAGATTTTGGTGACAAAATATTTGCCAGTGTGCTGTCAGAAAATCTGCAAAGAAACAATGCCAAGCAAAAATTTTAAAGTTAAAGATCAAAATATAAAACATAAATTTCTGTTTTGAAAGACAAACAAGATTGAGTTGAGTCTGTCACACTGCACAGGAGTGATGAGTCAGAGAAAAAAAACCAACCACTTTAGAAATGGGCACTATAACATAGAGATTTAGCCAAACCTACAAGAAGAGCTCCTGCCAGTTAGATTATTGATTGAACTCACCCAATGAGATAACCATCTTTGATTCCGGAAAAATTTCTGAAATGTAGGCAATGCATAAGATGATAAAATTCCAAGAGACAAAAAATTCCTAGGCAGTTTTTGGGTAGTTTGCCAAACCTTAGAAACATCTTAGCACAATCAGGTGTGGTAATGATAATTTAACATTTGCTCTACTTATTGGGGATCTTGCATACCCCATGCCAATTTCATAACCATAAAATCAAAAGAACTTTGAAAATTTACCATTATGAAGAAAACAAAAAATTAAGAGCATGCTATTTAAATCTTATCCACCCTCCTAAATGGTGTTCACAGGGTTCGTACCCTTTTTAAGAAAGAAATTTTCATGTACTTTTTCAGGACTTTTCTAAGACTCAGATTGGTTTTCCAGGACTCCAAATTTCACCTTACACCCTTTCACTCCCAAGATTTCAAAATCAATTCTTCCCACTGTCCTACAATCATTTCATTTAATATACATTTTGAAAACTTTATTGCTTGAGTAAAGCAGATTTCCAGGACTTTCCAGGATTCCCAGGACTCTGTGTTCAATTCCCCATGTAATTAAGAGCAACTAGAAGTGACAACTAGAATCCTCGTCTTTATTTCCAGGCCAAAGAATATTAAAGTGCTTATTGCACCAGACAATGTTAACCCCAGTCTCCCAAGTCCATCCCAAGAATGGAGGTGGGCTTACTTTGACTTGTGCTTAAATAGGCAATGCGTACCTTATGTCCGTACTCTCTTCGACTTTACCCAAGGCGAAACGATTCTTAGGGATTTCTGCAAGGCAATTGATGCACTGAAGGTTAGTTTCGCGCGCACAGTCCAAGAACTTTGAGAACTTACAATGGTGACACAGTCTAAAGCTGGAGAATGAGACAAATGCACGTACTCGATTTTTTTTCCTTAAAAGCTCTTTCCTTGTAAAATTTAAATGGCTCTGTACACGCTAAATTTTGTTCAGGCCTGCTTTTATGCGCCTGCAACATGGCCATTTCATACTGTGCAGATAGTCTAAGCGAGCAGAATTAAGCTGACCTTTTTCTCTCCTCTCAGTCCGGGAAGGCGGTAAATATGGATAACGAAATAATAGACTCTGTCCTCTACTACCGGCTGTCACTAATATAATGCTAACAGGATCACACAGATCCATTCGACGATGATTTCTAGTTTACAGAAAACATCAAATTTGTCTAAATCCTTAAAAAAATCCTTAACCTGTTCGCCTAGTCTTCCGCCATGTTTGATTCTATCGACCCAGTCTCCCACACGTCTAGGTGCCCACAGCTGAGGAACCTCTTGAGAATTATCGAATCGAATTAAAGCTGCGACTATTTACATTGGCAAAATCGGTTGTTGTGAATACTTTTGACTCTGATAGAGAGGGTCTTACATTATTTTTTTACAAGATTATGAGCCATAAGGAGTTCAGAAACAGTCGGTAGCTCCAAGGGGGTACCTCAACAGGAACATGTAAAGTTACCTATGCACCTGCTCAGTTGCCTAATGCGGAAGCAGAATGGAGTCAGTCGTAAATATATGTAGCAGAATGAAGTGAATTGATCATTGAAAATAGGGGTGAAAAAACTCACAATGGCGTGCTCTGAAGTTGGGACTGCGACAAATAGCGAAGAGGAGCAGGAAGAACAAAAGCTTATTGATGTCATGTTTCTCTGCGACGAATGGAAATCTTCTAAGGGTGGATTATCAACTTTCAATCGAGAATTTGCCATTAATTTGGCACAAGCGACGACTGGTAGCATGAAAATCCATTGCTATGTCTCCAATAGCGATGATCGGGACAGAAAAGATGCTAAACAACATGGTGTTAATTTAATCACAGCTCGAAATGTTCCTGGTTCAGCCGATCCCCTCGAGTGCTTGAAGTTTCCACCCTCAGAGCTCCCAAACCCACATCTGGTGATAGGCCATGGAAGAAAGCTGGGTAGTCCTGCGTATTTCCTAGCACAGGTTACAAAATGTAAATGGATACAATATGTCCATGTCTACTGCGAAGACCTTGGAAAATACAAGAAAACAACTATGGCTGAAACAGATACAATAGAAGAGAACGAGAAGAAGCACAAGATGGAAATTGAGTTGTGTAAAGCAGCGGATGCAGTTGTCGCTGTTGGCTCACGCCTGCAACAGTTGTACAGTAGAAGTCTTGTTAATGTAAAAGTGGAGCTTATTACTCCTGGGATCTTTGAAAATTTTTCCAATAAATTCCAGTTGGTGGTAGACAGAACAGTAGTTAAGAACTTTAATGTGTTTATGTTTGGCCGAGCAACCTTTGAGGATCTTTCCCTGAAAGGCTACGATATAGTTGCAAATGCCATCGGTTCTCTTGGTAAGAAGTTCAAACTGACTTTTGTTGGTTCATCTCCTGGTGAACACCAAAAAGTGGAAGAGTGGTTTCTTGACAACACAAGCATCAACCGCAACCAACTAACCATCCGTGGTTATTGCAGCCAACAAGAGGAACTTAAGATGATGTTCTATCAGTCGGATTTGGTTTCTCTGCCTTCCCGTACTGAGGGCTTTGGGTTGGTGGCCCTGGAGGCCATTTCTGCTGGTGTTCCTGTCCTTGTTTCTGCCGAATCAGGAATAGCAGAGGCTTTGTATAAAGTAGAGGGTGGACAGTCTGTAGTTATTGAATCAGATGATGACAATGCAACACAATGGGTGCAAAGGATTAAAGAATTGTCCAATCAAAGTCCAGAGGAGCGACAAACCAATGCAATGAAGCTTCGAGAGAACTACAGCAAGGTTTACTCTTGGAGTGGAGAATGTGAGAGATTTAAAGAAATGATCAAGAACATAGTCAAAACTTCAAATGGTACAGTATATGTTATTTGGTTTTACTTTTGCTTATATGATGTACTGCATGGTAAATGCCATGTTTTTCTTTGTATGTGGTGGGTAAGAGGCAGTTAAGATCTAGCATCTGTGATCTGTTCAATTGAGCCAAAGTTGAGGACAAGTGTATGCATGTAGATAGTGCAAGGAAGTCTGGTTGTTACTGGAATCAAATGTAGCTAATAATTCTAATAAACCTACCAACTGCATTGCGATGTTTTTCTTTTTCACTTTCAAAATTCTTCTTTAGTTGGGAAATATTGTTGTTGACCAGAAAAATTTCACCAATGATTGTACATTCGCAGTCAGCTGATATGTTTGAAGTAAAAATTTAACTTATTGTTAAGCAGGCAGTACCCTTGGCAATATGAAACAAGTCTTGTGTTTTGATTGACTACCAAAGTGGGCAAGATGGGATTGCCAGTGTTGATCCCAAGCAAGTAAAAAATTTGGTGCAGCAAACTTGCACAATTTGTTATTTTTATTAAAATTAGAATGCTCAATCTTGGTCATTGTAAACCTATCAAATGACCTTACTTTTAATTTGTCAAATGAAATACTATCACATACTTTCACAGTTGGCTTTCTTTCCCAGCACTCAAAAGTGAACAAGTCCTGAACTTGAGTCTGATATTCTTCTTCAAGTGCAATCTTTTGGCTATATGTTGAGTCTTTTATTGACCAAGCTTGTTTGGTCAAGATGGCTGGTTATTTACCTCATCTTCTTTTTGCATTTTCTATGGACCAAGATGTTCCAGTTATCCTGACTTTACCCTTGGTCAATAATGAATATCCACTGTCCTTTGCACTGAATGGGTGTAAGTGAATTTGAAGTACAACTTTAACTTAGACTATTTGTTGCAAATCAGCAGATGCAAAATTAAATATCAAAGTTGACGTGGAAGACCTGAAAACTACAGATCCAGACATGCACAGCACAGCTTCAGAGCCTGCTCTATGTCAGAAGGCAACAACAACATCAGGAACATGCAGGAAAAGAAGATCTGATACAGAAATAGATGATCTCCCAGCACTTAAAGCAAAAGCCTTATGTTTAATTGCTATAAACTATCTTCAGACTACACCACCGCAGTCTAGAGATGCGCATAATGAATTTAAAGAATACTTGAAAGAAATGGAGATTGTCTTCACAGGTGCTTCTGTGGGAAGCTTGGTGATAAAAGTGGAGTGTCATTCTCCTCAGAGCTTGGAGAAATTGTGGAAAGATTATTCAAATGGCTGTTTGGAAAAGGTGGTTCAGGATTGTTTTGTCACTGAGAAGATCTTGAAGGAACTGAACCTGACTGAGCTGAAGCTGAAAACAACAATGGATGAGGGAGAGTACAATGCATGCAGAGCACTTTTTAAAAAGGATGCACACAGAGGTTAGTAACAAGAGAGTAACCTGGTCCTTTTGTAAATCTTTTTTGCTAGATTGTGAAGTAAAGTGTTTCCTCTCCAACATACAACACCTGACCAGGTTCGCAGAGAGAGATCATAAACCAAAGGCCCCAGTTCAGATAAAACCACTTGTCGCAGTAATAACTACCTATGTAATGAACATTTAAAGAATTATCACAGTGTTATGATATTTATTTGGTACAAAGTATGAAAAAATATATTTATGTTAGATGGAGCAAATGATTGCTGTCCCTGTATGGGAGATGAGCTCTCTGGACACATAAATAGATGTCAAGCCTAGTGTCATGGTACCATCCTTGTTGTTAATGTCAAATTTGTCAAATGCTTTATATCTCTGTTTGTAGCCGTTCCTTCATCTACATTTTCCGCTACTAATCCTGGAGAAGAAGCTGTAGCCCTTCAGCCCCAATTGACAAGATCCATCACTGGAGGTTGGCAGAAACAAGAACAGCTTAAGAGATGGGAGCAGGAGATAGAGGCTGTGCAGCCAGAGAAATCTAAAGGTAAACACCAAATCTTTAAACTTGTTTGTTGAGAAAGCAAACCAGAAAAAAATATATATATTTCTGGTTTCCATGGAAACTGTTTACTTTTAGTGAAAAGTTGCTTTGAACAGTGATTGTATTTCTGTCAGGTATCAAGAATAAGCTGTCGCAGTTCACTAATATTTTAATGATCTTGATGATACAACTTGCTGATACAACTTATAAAGAGCCTTATTGAACTGGGGTATTAAATGCTAAATTTTCCATGTGCACTTTTGCTCTAAGGTACTCCGCACTCTGTTGCATTGTACACCTCTGGTCCTGAAAGGAAACCAGAAGACCTTTTTGAATCAATGAAACTGCAAGAAGAAAGAGAATATCAGATTTTGCCTGCTTGGGAAGAAAGTAAATTTAAAACTTAGAGTGCTTTTAGATCTTATGTCAGGTGTTATTTTGCTAAGGAATTAATTCCAGTGTAGTTTTTTTCTCCCACCATCCTGCATAAAGGAGTGTTGATTCAGCTTTTCAGTACAGCTGTACTCAGCAATTTTTTTCTAGTAATTTAATGTAGAAAACAAAATCACACAGTATTCTATACAGTTTTTCCTTGTTCTATTCTTCATAAAGATAGTCTTGAGTTAGCAATATCATTGGTGGATTAAACAGTTCTTAATTACATCCACCTGTTTCATGGATGCTGTATTGGACAAATGAGACTCTTTGCATTCACAAGCAGATTATTTATTTAATTAGGTTTTAGTGCCAGTCATGTTTTGTGAGATGATCCCTGAGACATGTGAAAATGGAACGTTGTTAAGCGTACCTGTCAGTAACGTTTTGGAAAGGTTTTTTTTTACATTAGGATATAAATGACAGCTAATGTGCCTGTGTGCTTTTTTTCTTGGGTACCTCACCTTTTACAGTATTTTCCACCACTGATCTCAACGATGAGCACGAAGGTGGTAGGATTCTAAAGAGTAATTCTATAATGTTGAAAAGAAAAAATTTTCTTATTATTGGGAATTTTTGTCAAATCAAATTTAGTTTCCTGAAAATGTTGAAGCCAAACTTTGTTATGAATTTTATTTAATGGATCTTTTTTCGTCTCAAACTCAAAGTCTTAAGAGTAAAAGTTTAACATTTCATATATTTGTATTATTCGACAGTCCCATTAAGAGTCAAAGGAGACCGAAAAGCTGAGGAAGAAGAAGGTCTTGATACATTACTCACTTCGCACATCAGAAAAGGAAAATGGCGAGTGGTTTTGGAGTACTTGGATGGGCTTCCTCGTTTTGAAAATCCATTTAGCAGCGTAGCTGGTGCACAAGATGATGAGGGAATTGGCCTTCCATTGTGTTACAGTTCGCAGTCAGGCATATTGACTTGGTGGCCAACTGACGAAGACCGTGATTTGGTCATACTCTGTAAGGCAATCTCCCAGTCCTCTCCTCCCTTGAAAATAACAAAATTAATCCTCTCCGAGAGTCCGATAACAGATGAAGGTGTGGAGAACTTATCCGTAGCTCTCAGTCGCAGTGATCTAAACAGCTTGACCCTCTCTTTCAGTAGTTTATCGCAACAAGGAATCAAGCACTTGTCCAAGGCGATAGCGTATAGAAATTGCAAGAAATTAACCAGTTTAAATGTCAGTGGCAATCACTTTGGGGATAAGGGAATCACGCACATTTGTGAAACGCTAACCAGCATTAACTGCGAGTTAACCAGGCTGGATTTGTGTGTCAATTCTCTTGGAAATGAAGGGATGAAACTCTTGTCTGAAGCAATAACCTCGGGTAATTGCAAATTAACGTTGTTAGATGTTAGTGGTAATAACATAGGAAACGAAGGAATGAAGCACTTGTGTAAAGCACTCACCAGCAGTGCATCCAAGTTGTCTGGCCTAAACGTCAGACATAATCGTGTTGACGATAAAGGAATAAGTCACTTGTGTAATGCACTGACTGATACCAACTGCAAACTAGGCATTTTAGACCTTAGAGGCAATTCAAGCATAACTGTTCAAGGAAGGAAGTATTTGTGTCATGCTTTGACCGGCAGTGACTGGAAAATGGAAGGCCTTAAGCTTTTCCGTTCATCTACAAAGTGAGGAATCTGCTTAGAACTGAGCCCAGTTGCATTTCGCTCGTCTTGTAAGATGTTTTACTCTCAGGAGAGATGTTCTAGTTCTCATCAGAGTGACATAGATACGGAATCGTCCAATTGTTTGTCTTACTATTTTGACTTTGCAGTGACTTTGTTTATCGAAAGGAATGGTTTTATCGACTGGCTTCGTGGCAGTCAAAACGTAGCGAACAGCAATTGTTACAGTCTCCTTCGTAGCCATTCGTCGGGATGTCTTGTAAGGTTCCTCTCATTCCAAAGAACGGCTGCACCGGAGATTACGATCGTTAGTGAATTTAGACCATCAGAAAAACCATTAATTGTCCATTTAATCAGATACAGTCCATTTTTTGCTAGATGGAAATAGAGCACATTACGATTAAGTGTCGTAATAACAACACCAAAGTAATTACAACAACCAAACTGAACAAAGGAAAATATCGATGAAGTCAAAGCAAAAAACAGTCAGGCAAATTACTGTTACTGAAGCGCGGGAAAACGCGAGTGGCGAAGACGCGATTGGCTTTAGTTTTGAATCTGACTGGTTGATAAATTTATATGAGTTTTTTGAAACAATCGCGCAGAGAACTTTAAAAAACGAGGTAACCCTGGATTGTTTTCGATACTCAGTTGAGTATTCCTTTATGAATACAATAGCGTGAAGGGAATATTTTGAACCACAGATCCTGATCCCCGTCAGGGAACTTCCAACAGTGCTTTCCTCCACTTTATATTAAACGCGTGCTCTTCAATCCTCATTTGCAACAAAAGTGTACAAAATTATAGGCTGTTAGTTTGTTATTTAAAAATTATCTCGGAAATTTTTTAGAAGTAATTAGATCCCAATGATAAGATTTCCTATGTGAATTCTAATCTTAAAGGAGCCAAGTTGGGTAAGAATATTGTTGTCTTCTGAAAGGAAAAATTTCCAAACAATGTTCTCTAACCAACTGTACTGAAAAAAGATAAAAATATATGTGTATGGTGTTCACAATCGTCCTCGGCTTTGTCACTCGTTTTTACTGCTCGGTCGCCTAACGCTTCGGAGCACGAAGTGCATCTCCGCAAGCGACTCACTGGGCCAAAGTATGCAATCAAAATTGAAGACAATGAGGTTGATGAACTCAAGCCTAAGGTGTTCAATTTGGTCGTAAGCTTTAACATGTTTAATTGGAAAGAAAACTCAACAAAGGAGTATGGTGAGTATTCTTCAGCTCATTCCTCAGCTTGTGGCCAAAACATCTTCTTCCTCCAGTCACAAAAATATTTCTTCCTTTAGGGTACACACCAACATCCATTCACAGATTTCCTTCCTAAAGATTTTCGTTCCCGCTCTAACAAACGGGCCTGCATTCAACCAGCTGCAACGTACCTTGGCCACGAGCTACAAAACCAGCAGTGTGGTGTAATAGTCATATCTTATAACCTGCTAGGGGGTTCTTCTTCCTTTCAATGCTGTCACATGATAGTAAATGAACCAATTGAAATAATTCATGAAACCGAAAGTGATAGACGAATGCGGAAATCGACGTGAAATAACACTAATACTAATGTTTGGCGAGGTGTTTCACCAGTTTATTTTTATATAAGTAATAGATTCAGCTCCTATGAAGTGATTTCAGATCATCAGCGAACTGTAGCTCCAGACTGACACTGAAGGGAACAGATACAGGACCTTCACTTACAGTAACATACCAACGAAGTCTTGGTAAGCCAATTCGTGTTAACTTCTGATGCTTGATGCCTAGAATTCTTACTGAAATGAAAAATTTTAGTAAATACCTGAGAGCAGCTCATCGCCTCAATTTTCAAACGCATTTTCTAAGACGAATGACACTCTTTATTACACCCATTTTGAAATCACTGGTGGTCCCTGTAATCTGATTGGCTCTAATTGATGCGATTTATTCACGAATCACACCATTTTTTGCTTTAAATCGCATCTTTTTCCCAGTCAGTGAGGAGGCTATACTAAAGACAAAACAACCAATCAGATTTTAAGGCTTTTAAAGTAACGGATCAAATTGCAAGAAAATGAAAGACAAGGAGTATCATGTGACAAATTTTGCAACTTTTTTTTCTTAACTCTTACTTTTCCCCTCAAAAAATGGACATGACTTTAATTTCAGACCGGCTCAGTACTGCATCAATAAAATATTTGAACTGATCATGTCCTGCATTTGGGCGATTTCAAAACGGATGTAATAAAGTGGTAATTGAACCTAGTGTCGTGCAATTTTGGTCTGAAATCATACATGCGCGCTCGTTCGATTTGAAATCACTCTTATGATTTCAGCCCAAATTGCACTCCACTCAGTTCAATAACCAGTATAAATTCCCCAAATAGCATATTCTCCTCTTAAGAACTAAAATTCTTTTCAGAATAATCATTTTAATGGTAACTCTTTCAAGGAGAATCGAGGTTCTTGAAACAAAATTGAATAGAAGAGAATTCTTGTGGCAAGGATTTATTACATCTGAATATCTTGAGAAGAATCTCTATTTCAGAAACTATTTCCTCATGAACCGGGAATTCTTTTCTCGTGAACGAGAATTCTTTTCAGCAGGCAATGAAGTAGAGAGTTCTTCTGAAAAGAATGTGTAATTGCAAATCTCATGGACAGAAATTCAATTTCAGAAACTCATGCTACAAGAATCGGGAATTCTTTTCTCAAGAAAGAGAATTCTTTTCGGCAGGCAATGAAGCAGAGAGTTCTCCTGGAAATAATATTTAATCGCAAATCTTACGAACAAGATCGAAATTTTAGAAACTCTTGCCACAAGAATCCGGAATTCTTTTTTTCGAGAACGAGGATTCTTTCTGGCAAGCAAACAGTAGAAGGTCCTTCTGGAAAGAATGTTTAATTGCAGATCTTATGAAAAGAATCGCAATTTAAGAATTCATTAGATAAGGGGCAGAATCTCTCACAACCAAAATTTTATTAATTTAACCTCTATTGCTGGTAACTTTGATAATTATAGACCAAATTATTTGATGAAGTCTGATAAAGCTTTGCTACAATACAGCGCTGGAGTAGGTACATGATTCGCTGGGAAAACGAAATATAATGGTGTTGTAGCCGCAATAATTTATATTAATTTTTCGTGTGAACATTCACAACACCAAAATTAATAACTTTGAAAGCGAAACACTTATCTGGAGGTTTGAACAGTTCCAAAATTGTCCTTAAATTTTTGTCATTGGAGTCTGTTGTGCTAGCAGGCAAGAGAAACGCAATGTATGTTACGCGCTTGGTAACCGCCCCATACCCGATTTCAGTTGCGCGGGGTTAATTAATTAACGTTTTTAACGGCTTTCAAAAAGTGCGCTAAGTAATAAGTTGTAGTTGCCTTGTTCCGATCTCGTATGAGGAAGGAGATTTCAGCGGCCAATACTGCTTTCCGCTCCAAGGTTAACTTGTACGTTAGGAGGGCGTTCAAATCTGGGTTCATATAGAGTGATTCAATAGGAATATTCGGAGTGTCAGGTGGGTTCTTGTTACAATAATTCAGTGTCGACCGATCGACGGAATCTCGTATCAATAAGATGAGGTCCAAGAAACTGAATCCTGCTTGATTGGACCTAACCTTCATTGGAAACATGCTGTTAACAAAGCTGTTAGAAGGAAGTGCTCTTCAGGAACTGATTGAACCTTGTTCATATATAATCTACTGATTGCAGGACTGACAAATTTAATTTCAGTTGTAGAGCTCGAGGATAGGATAAATTACAATTGATTGATGCTGAATTATGTACTTGAAGGCTTCAATTTGCAACAAAATTGAGCTATTTTTGCATGATTCAAAATTTAGTATTCCCTTCCATTTTCAATCATGTTTGCAAAAAAAGAAGTACTGGATTGCTCAGCTAGAGAAAAGGTCATAGGAAAGGACTAGGAGTTGCAATTAGCATGCTATTAATTCATTGATGAACAACAACTGCTTTGATGCAGATTGTAAAAGTAACGAATGGTATAGTGTTTGATGAGGGAATGATATATTTAACTAATATGCAAAGAATGAGATATGTAGATAAAAATTGAAAGTTCTCAATAACAGTGAATGTTGATATAGTTGTTCATTGATAGTTCGATGTATATGTTGTGGTTCAATTTTATCCTTGGTTCAAATTTTCTTTTCTTTTGTTTTTGGGTATTGTAATGTATGATAATGAGTTTGAAACAAAGGAAATTAAAATTTGAACCAAGGATAAAATTGAACCACAATATATACCACAATATATGTATGTTAATAATAGATAAAAAAAAAAATGGGGTATGATTTAAAAGTGATTTGATGTTATTTTAAGATACAAAAAATAAGGTGATAATCAGTGAATGTTTTCAATACAGTGAGTGCTGATATAGTTGTTCACAGATAACTTGATGCATACATTATAAATATGTGAGTTAGTTTTATGTTATGTTGATTGTATGTTAAAAAAGAAATCCAAAGAAAATGAGATTCTTTTCAGTGTAATTTACTGCATTAGAGGAAAATCAATCCTTTCAATAACTCAACAAAACCCAGTAAAGGCAAAAGATTCTTCTCAATAGAATATTCAGACCTCAGAAGAGCGCAAAGACTTTATCAGCAAGAATGCTTTTGAATGCATTCTTCATACAAGAAAAGTCAATCTTTTGTGAAGAACAATCAATTTAAAAAAATATATTCATTCTAGAGTGAAGGACAAAAACTCTCATGAGAAGACTCAGAAACTGACATTCTTCCCAAACAAATATTGTGTCTTCAGGGAAGAGCAGTAATTCTTCTGATAAGCTTGCTTAAAAAATGAGATTCTGCTTAAATGGATATCATCTTTAGAGGAGAGCATTATTTCTTCTCAGAAGAATACCTCATTAATTGGTTCTTGGCAAAAGAATTTTGTTCTTGTGGGAAAAAACTAGTATTCTTTTAACAAGAATCAGCCATACATGAGATTCTTCTTGAAAGAATTTAAATACTGTTCAAAAGAATTGAAGTTAAGAGTGATTTAGAGTATGCAAACAGTAGACTGAATCATAAATACAAATCGTGTGACATTGTCTTGATCTTTAAGGGTATACTAGGATCTTCACAGATGTCCCTTGCCAAAAATTTTGTAGTAAGGCAGATGCACTTTGTAGTCTGACCAAATTTAGGAGTGCCTATTTATTCCAGATTTCATGACAAAAATGTGGTGATTACATATTGATAAATAGTAATAATGACAGAACCATATGATAGCTTTAAATAATAATTTACAGGAATCGCATGTACGATTATTTGTTCAAACCCTGCATGTAGTTGCAGGGTTTGAACAAATTAAGCACTTTTACAACAACCTCTTTTTAGCACTGAAGTACACGTACATTTCCTCCGCATTGTTAACTGAAAAGTTCAGTTCTCTTTGCTAGTTAGAAGGAATATTTTTTTCATAGATATATTTCGTCAATTAAATTTCACTTGATCAAAAAGGCAATATGATTACTCAGCTGTACCATGATATGCCAGCAACAGTAATGTCAAGTTGTCATTCAATATTGTATTTGACAGTTAGTAATTTAAGACATTTTAAGTTAATAAGTAGTGAAAGTAATTCCTGTTTTTTTCATTTTTATTTTAGCAACTTCCTGTTCAACATTTAAGGTTCCTGTGATGGCAAGACAATTAAAGGTATCACAATTAAAGACAATTAAAGAAAATCACAGCTGTGACCGAGTTGTTTTTTTTACTTGTACTTTGGTGTTATTTCATTTTAAGGAAACTTCACTTTTATCAGTACTTCCCTGCCAACTCCCTCACTTCAGCACAAATTACATGCCTGCAGATACAAAACTTTATGATTACATAATACTGCTATTTACCAAGTAGGAGATTGATATGGAAAAAAAAATTATAGGAGAGTAAAATAATTTATAAAATGAGTTTTTATTTTTCTGTAATTTTAATTGAATTTCCTAAATCACAAAAATCTTGTGTTTACAGAACAACACTGGGGAAAGAAAACTGAGAGTAACCCTTCTGAGTGCTGAATGGAAAGCTTCAAGCAATGGAGACTTGACAACCATCAACAGAGAGCTAGCAATACAGATGGCTAAACATTCCAATGTGGAAGTCAGTGTCTTCTTACCTCAGTGTAGTGAAGAGGACAAGAGAGATGCTGATAGTTACAATGTTAAACTCATTGAAGCTGTTAAACTGTCTGGTTTCGAACCAGTTGATTGGCTAGCCTCTTTACCTGATGGCCATGCTATGGATTGTGTTCTAGGACATGGAGTAGCTCTTGGTCGGCAAATTCAAATCATAAAGAAAAATCCAAATTACAGGCATTGCAAATGGATTCAAGTTGTCCATACTGCCCCTGAAGAAATTGGCATGTACAAAAGCATTTCTGAAGGTCAACAAATGCAGCAAACAGAAATAGAACTATGTGAAATGGCTGATCAAGTTGTAACAATTGGCCCCAAGCTAACTGATGCATATAAATGCAAACTCAGAGAACAAGATGTTCTTAACCTGACGCCAAGTATTTTCACTGAATTTACAGATGTGCAGCAAGCTAGTGATGAAAGAAAAAAATTTTGTGTCTTGGTAACTGAGAGTGGTGATGGTGAAGATTTTGATGTCAAAGGATATGGCATAGCAGCGAAAGCTATTGCTAACCTAAAGGGTGAACCTTACCAACTCAAGTTTGCCTCCAAACAGAGAGGACAGGAAAATGAATTAAAACACAAGTTACTTCAGTGTGGTATTGATTCTAAACAGCTAATTATCTCCAGCTTTGATGAAAGCAGGAAAACGGCAGCCAACTTATTCTCTATGGTGGATATTGCTATATTGCCCTCAAAAACTGAGGGATTCGGGTTGAGTGCTCTCAAAGCCATATCTGCTGGTCTTCCAGTACTTGTCAGTGGTAACTCAGGAATTGCAGAAGCCTTAAGGGAGGTGCCTAATGGGTCACAGTGTATAGTGGATTCAGAGGATCCTGCAGACTGGGCCAGAGCAATAAAGGCTGTGCGTAACAAAAAAAGGAATGTACGACTTACAGAGGCTAAGATTCTTCGTGAAAACTATTTGCAGCAGTTCAGCTGGAAGGAGCCGTGTGCTTTCCTAGTTGAAAAGATGTGCAATCTTGCATTTGGTAAGTTTTCTCACCTTGCATTGGGAATGCAGAAGTTTTAATTAAATTTGAAATAATGATAAAGCTCACATGTTCTGTGTTAAATATTCAATTTACAGGTTAGCAGTTTCTAAATGCAATAGGGCAGTAGTCTTATGGAATGTTACAAGTAAATACATTTAGAAAGACTGGTAATCCAAGGCTATAAGTTGATGCTAATGGCCATTGTTGTTAAGGGCCATTCCATTTTAGGAACTGCTTAAATAGAGAAATTGAAAATAATTATTTCATATCTAGCCCAATAATGGATTTTTGGAGTGAGGAGACCCTAAATTGTTTAAAAAAATAATAATCTGAAAGTTGATTTTGCAGGAAATGGCAGAGTGGCTGTTTATTTTTGTCCAATGAAAAGTGTGTGAAAATATGTGGCATGCTGTAAGATTTAAAATGATTTTATTAAGACACATTTATTCCCAACATATCACCAGGGGAACAAAACTATTTGAACCCAACACAAAGGTGAACTTGCTAATAAGATTTTTTCCAAAATGGATGTGCTTTGTAAATGAGAGCAAGGAACAATTCACATAATGTCTGTAACAAAAACCAATTTATTTTGTTTTCTCTGAAAATAAAAACCAGCTGTTTCTGTAAGCTTGGCTCGTTTTACAGTTTTTAGGGGCCCAAACTTATTATAATAAGTGCTGTAAATTATCAAAATCCTGGAAAAACACCAGAAAAAATAAAGCCTACTTTATGTTACAGACATTACATAACGGACACAATGTTACGGAAATTACATTATGGACATTATGACTGAATGACTTTTATTATAGTAAATCTTTTGGAAGAAATAAATACTTCATGAAAACCAATTTGTTCAAATTGAACAAAAAATCACATCCATGTTTACAGTGCTTTTTTTTATTTTTGCCTGAATAGTCCATTCACAGGAAAATAAGTGTCAAGTGAACACATTGAATTGTAGGTTGTTTTTTTTGTAATGTTCGCAACAGAGTTTCATACAAAAATATTGGCAGCCTCTGTTAAAGAAAGGAAAATTTTTCCTCTGCAGAGAAAATTATTAATTCAAAACTGTGCAAAATAAGTTTGTTAAGGAAATTAGTTTCCAAAAAAATTGGTCTCTGAATGTAAAGTCTGTAACATGGAATTGCCCTTAACCCTTTAACTCCCAGATCAAATTTGTAATTCTCCTTACTGTCAACCATACAATTCTCATAAAGTTAGTTCAGAGAATTTAGTATTGGATCAACTAATTATCCCCAAATTGATATTTTTCTTTATTTTAATCACTTGCCTGGTTGATATTGTATTGATATTGTAAGGAGAAATTCTGTCTTGGTCACTCATGGGAGTTAAAGGGTTAACAGTAATAAAAATTTGTGTACTGCATGGGTACTATGCAATTGGAAGATTGCTGTGCAATTTGCTATGCAGGAACACTGGTGTAGAAGCCCTCTGAAAATGAGGACCTGCAAGAAGATTGTCATCTAATGTGTTTGAAGTTTAATGTGATATTAATGGTTCAAGTTGGTTTGAAGTACAATTTTAACTTCATTTCATCACATATTCCACCTGCATTGTCCAACCCCACTGAAAAAAATTCACATGGAACTAAATGCATCTGATAGTGAACTTTCCATGCAATTCTCCCAAGTCGCATGTCAATTCCTTGTAAACAACCTGCATTTTATCACGTATTTCACACACAGAGGGCAAAGTCCAGATAGGTAACAACCAATCAAGGAGCCCTCTTTGAAATATTATCCTTGTCTCTTGGTCGTTGTATCTTCACTTATTTGAGATTGCAATATATCTTTGGTTAGGTTTTATTGGAGATACAACAGAGTTTCTGTTTGCTTTTCGCTGTAAAATTTGGTGAAATTATATTTTTGGAGTCACTAACTGTTGATGAATAAGTTTAATTTTTTCTCTGTTAGAGGAATGGCAGTAAGCATGGTCTCTTTTGCAACTGTCATTTGGTCTCGTCACGCAACAATTATAATCATAATTATAATAATAGTATAATGATAGTATAATGAGGGTTTTTCCAACCTTAATTATAAATTGTGTATTGAAAAACTGACTTTGGTGATGTATTTTGGATAAATTTCATGCAAGTATATACAGATGGTCACATTTTGGTTTGCTGTGTTAATTATTATTTCTCAAAGAAAAGTAACACAATAAATACATGTATTGCCATAAATAATGTAAAATAATGAAAATTATTCCAGATATGATTGTGCCTGATACTCTACTTATGTGAAAGGAATTTGTGTTGGTTTGTGGAATTAACCCTTTAAACCCTAAGAGTGACCAGCATCTAATTTCTCCCTACAATATCACTCCTGAATCACACACTAAGGTGATGAGAATAAAGGACATGGTCAACAGAGAAGGAAACTTTTGATTGGCAAACAAATTCTCCTTTTCAGCACATGTTAATTTGATCTGTTTTCATGTTGCCATTAAAAGTAACACCATGAATTGCTCTTTGTACTTTTCCTCTCAGGTACTTCACCCTCCACCTTACTGTCCACTTCTGGTCACAAAAGAAAACTGGAAGTAAGGCACAGCACTGTGAAACTTCAGGAAAAGAAAGGTGAGTGAAAAGAGACCTTGAAGCCAAGGAAAGGAAGCTCAGTTTGAATTAATTTCTTAAGTGAATATGTTCAGTGTGTTCAGCTATGATGTCAAGTGTAAAGAAGTGTGCTTTTGGGATTAAACATTTAAGGTTGCTAGGGTCTGAAGGGTAAAACTAAACTGACAATTATTTGAAATACTTTCAGTTCTTCATTAAAAAGATTAATTTGAGAGGAATTAAAAGCCAATTTATTTATTTATGTTTAGATCAGTGGCAGTAGATGGTAAAACAGTTTTAATAATAATAAAATGATAATAATAATAATTATAATCATAATCATAATCATAATAATAGTATAATAATAGTATAATGAAGGTTTTTCCCAACCTTAATCATAAATTATGTATTGCAAAACTGACATTGGTTATGTATTTTTGATAAATCTTGTGCACTTATATACATATGGTCACATGTTGGTTTGCTGTGTTAATTATTATTTCTCAAAGAAAAGTAACCCCATGAATACATATATTGCTGTAAATAATGTAAAATAATGAAAATTATTCCAGATAGGATTGTGCATGATTCTCTACTTATGTTAACAGGTATTTGAGTTGGTTTGTGGAATAAACCCTAAGAGTGACCAGCATCTAATTTCTCCCTACAATATCACTCCTGAATCACACATTAAGGTGATGAGAATAAAGGACATGGTCAACAGAGAAGGAAACTTTTGATTGGCAAACAAATTCTCCTTTTCAGCACACTAGGAAATGTATAAGGAGCAGTGTGGAGAATATGGAGACTGATGTTAGGATGTAAAGGGTTAAGACAATATACATGAGATATATATGTGAATATCAAATAGATGTTTTGAGCACCTTTTTTAAATCTATCTTTAACTACAAGTTGGTATGGCTGTTTCTAACTATTTATCAGTAGAAATGCTAATATCTCTCTGTATAACTTTATTTTTAGGCATGTTGCCTCTTCCTGGATCTTCCACCTTTGATCCTGAAGAAGAACTAGAAGAGCCACCTATGAAACTCCAAAGAATGGAAGGTGAATAAATGATGCTGTTAAATTAAATTTCATGGTAAAACTAATCTAAGAATACTTTTAAATACATTTAGTTCTCATTAAAAATGTTTTTTTTAAAGGCAATTATACCCAATTTAGTTTTCCCTCTCTCTGTGTTTTGCTATAAGGAAATATTAAGATGGTAGAGGCTGGGGTTGGTGACAGAAACAGTATATAATGATAAACTGGGTGTTTTCAATGTTGATCTTAAATTATGACTCAAACAACTGATAGTGACACGGTATGTCAGTTAATCGCATGTTGATTTGACCTGTTTTCGTGTTGCGATTAAAAGTAACACCATGAATTGCTCTTTGTACTTTTCCTCTCAGGTACTTCACCCTCCACCTTACTGTCCACTTCTGGTCACAAAAGAAAACAGGAAGTAAGGCAGAGCACTGTGAAACTTCAGGAAAAGAAAGGTGAGTGAAAAGAGACCTTGAAGCCAAGGAAAGGTAAAGAGGAAGCAATTCATTTCTTAAGTGAATATGTTCAGTGTGTTCAGCCATGATGTCAAGTGTAAAGAAGTGTGCTTTGGGGATTAAACATTTAAGGTTGCTAGGGTCTATAGGGTAAAACTAAACTGACAATTATTTGAAATACTTTCAGTTCTTCATTAAAAAGATTAATTTGAGAGGAATTAAAAGCCAATTTATTTATTTATGTTTAGATCAGTGGCAGTAGATGGTAAAACAGTTTTACTAATAATAAAATGATAATAATAATTATAATCATAATCATAATAATAGTATAATAATAGTATAATGAAGGTTTTTTTACCAACCTTAATCATAAATTATGTATTGAAAAACTGACATTGGTGATGTATTTTGGATAAATCTCATGCACTTATATACATATGGTCATATGTTGGTTTGCTGTGTTAATTATTATTTCTCCAAGAAAAGTAACACCATGAATACAGATATTGCTGTAAATAATGTAGAATAATGAAAATTATTCCAGATATGATTGTGCCTGATACTCTACTTATGTGAAAGGAATTTGAGTTGGTTTGTGGAACAAACCCTTTACCCTTTATGTTCAGTGTGTTCAGCTATGATGTCAAGTGTAAAGAAGTGTGCTTTTGGGATTAAACATTTAAGGTTGCTAGGGTCTGAAGGGTAAAACTAAACTGACAATTATTTGAAATACTTTCAGTTCTTCATTAAAAAGATTAATTTGAGAGGAATTAAAAGCCAATTTATTTATTTATGTTTAGATAAGTGGCAGTAGATGGTAAAACAGTTTTAATAATTAAAAAAATGATAATAATAATTATAATTATAATCATAATCATAATCATAATCATAATAATAGTATAATGAAGGTTTTTCCCAACCTTAATCATAAATTATGTATTGAAAAACTGACATTGGGGATATATTTTGGATAAATCTCATGCACTTATATACAGATGGTCACATGTTGGTTTGCTGTGTTAATTATTATTTCTCAAAGAAAAGTAACCCCATGAATACATGTATTGCTGTAAATAATGTAAAATAATGTAAATTATTCCAGATATGATTGTGCCTGATTCTCTACTTATGTGAAAGTAATTTGAGTTGGTTTGTGGAATAAACCCTAAGAGTGACCAGCATCTAATTTCTCCCTACAATATCACTTCTGAATCACACATTAAGGTCATGTTAATTTGATCTGTTTTCATGTTGCCATTAAAAGTAACACCATGAATTGCTCTTTGTACTTTTCCTCTCAGGTAATTCACCCTCCACCTTACTGTCCACTTCTGGTCACAAAAGAAAACTGGAAGTAAGGCAGAGCACTGTGAAACTTCAGGAAAAGAAAGGTGAGTGAAAAGAGACCTTGAAGCCAAGGAAAGGAAGCTCAGTTTGAATTAATTTCTCAAGTGAATATGTTCAGTGTGTTCAGCTATGATGTCAAGTGTAAAGAAGTGTGCTTTTGGGATTAAACATTTAAGGTTGCTAGGGTCTGAAGGGTAAAACTAAACTGACAATTATTTGAAATACTTTCAGTTCTTCATTAAAAAGATTAATTTGAGAGGAATTAAAAGCCAATTTATTTATTTATGTTTAGATCAGTGGCAGTAAATGGTAAAACGGTTTAAATAATAATAAAATGATAATAATAATAATTATAATCATAATCATAATCATAATAATAGTATAATAATAGTATAATGAAGGTTTTTTTCCCAACCTTAATCATAAATTATGTATTGAAAAACTGACATTGGTGGTGTATTTTGGATAAATCTCGTGCACTTATATACATATGGTCACATGTTGGTTTGCTGTGTTAATTATTATTTCTCAAAGAAAAGTAACCCCATGAATACATATATTGCTGTAAATAATGTAAAATAATGAAAATTATTCCAGATATGATTGTGCCTGATACTCTACTTATGTGAAAGGAATTTGAGTTGGTTTGTGGAATAAACCCTTTAAACCCTAAGAGTGACCAGCATCTAATTTCTCCCTACAATATCACTCCTGAATTGCTCATGATGGTGATGAGAATATAGCAACAGCAAGAGTCTGTTTCAAAGGGAGTTTATTTCAGTCATTTATTTACGTGTTTCCCCAGGGGTTGGCTCTTGTCCGCTGTGGCAAGGTGTCTGTAATAGTGAGGTGTCCACAGGGTGAGAGTCAACTACAGATTAATCTAAATTTGGCATTGTTTCATTCTCTACTTTAGCTAAAGATGGTAATGAGTCGGCGTGTGCTAAAATACATAATAGATGCTTTAAATTATAAATGTATTAAGTTATTATGGAAAGTTGTTGTGAACAGTAACAATTGTGTGAGAAATGATCGAAGAATTATCTCATACAATAACGTGGCATCCAGGGATTAGGAAGGCCGTGCGCCATGCGCGCATGGCGCATAAAGCTACGAAATGGCCCATTATAAAAATACTTACCGGGCCTGTGATGCGCCCTGACCGCACAAAGCTAGTGAAATATAAACTATTTTGTGAAAAGGATTTTAATTTGTAAAAGTTTCACTTTGGTGAGACATAAACAAGCGAAAAACTACGGTGCCTTCGCTCGTTTGATCACCCTCGCTTCATTCTTGTTCCCAGATCCTGAACTCGGACTTTGCATGCAAACGAGGCTATTGCTCGGAGTTCCATGTGCTTTCGTTTTCGAGCGATGAATGTATTTGCATCGATTAGCCTCATGCCTCCGAAAAAAATCTTGAGATTGGACAGCTCGCAGAGAACGTTGTCTACATTTTTCAACACAACAGCGGAGCAGAATCGTGATACTGTGAGCGAAAACGACCGTGAAACGGACTAAACAGATGGTTCATGTGAAACGACTGACGAAGGTGCTTCCAAGCATTCTAGTTCTGAGAAGATAAAATTCAAAAAAAAAAATTCATGGCAACGGTTTTTCATGCCTAAAACCATGTCTCTGTATAGGTGTAGACTGTAATACAAAAGCAATAAACCTTTGTTAAAATTTTTACTGGCCCATTTATTTACCCTAATGGCCCAAACGTTTTATAAATGGCCCATAACTCTCCAATGATAGGGGCCATAGGCTCATTTGCCTGTTAAACCTTCCTAATCCCTGGGCATCAATTATTTAATATAAGTGTACACATTTCCTCTTATCGCAACAAAACATCTGAAGAGAGGCTGTGAATTAATGCTAATTTCTCTCTGCCTCTTTTACCCTTAGGTACTTTACCCCTCACTGTAGTACCCATCACTGGTCATGAAAAAAAATTAGAAGAGCCTTCGGGTGAACAGAATACTCAATTTGAACCTTTTTTTTTTTAATTAATGTAGTTTAAATATGGTGCTCATTGGGTAAAGGTAACGAATTCGATCCTACCGACGCGAAGTCCATGGCATTCATAAATTCTGTAATGAAATTAGTGTAGTTTACACTTGTCACCACTGTATTGGATCGATCAGGGTTTTAATAACTGGGATGTGAAAATGTATCGGTTTTGACAGTTTTGCATGCGGTTTTCGGTTTTGATCGAATTTTTTTTTTTCGGTTTTTCGGTTTTGGATGATTTTTTCTACGGTTTTGCGGTTTCTAATAGGCCCCAATACCCCCCTCGAAAAGAAATCTAAATCACCGCCATTTTGAGAACGAAATACTAGGACCTAGGTCTTCTCCTAGTCACCGAAAAAAACGGCTCCTTTAGGAGCCACCAAGTTTGAAAAAGTCAATGTCCAACGTAATAAAATTGCAGTGTTTTAGGTAATAAAAATTAAAAAACTCGACGACGGGTGTCGGTTTAGAATATGAAGGTGTCCTTACCAAAAGATATAGGAAATGTTCATCTAATGCTCAGTCGGGATAAGTAACTGGGTTCCAATAACACGACTAACAAGATGGCGGCCAAATGGAAATTATCATTTTCATCTCGTGAGTGAAAGTTTTCCAAAGAAGACGCGTTGGTAGGATCGGATTCTTTACCTTTACCCGTTTTACAGGTTGATGAATTTTTTCACCCACGTGACTGATGAGAACTATGTTGCATTCTTTGACCTATTGAAAATTTTGCTGTTGCTGTCACATGGCCAGGCATCTGTAGAGCGGGGATTTTCTGTCAACAAAGAAACTGAAGTAGAGAACTTGCTAGAGCACTCTTTGGTAGTTCAAACTACTTGTCGCAGTGATAACTACTTATGTGATGAACGTTTGAAGAATCATTGCAGCGCTATGATATTTAATTGATACAAAGTATGACAAAACAAATTTTCATATTAGATGAAGCTAATGATTCCTGTTCCTGTGTGGGAGATGAGCCCTCCAGACACAATAAATACATAGATGTCAAAGGTGTCATGGTAGCATCCCTGTTGTTAATGTCAAATTTATGGCAAGGCATGAATGCTTAATATCTCTGTTTGTAGCCGTTCCTTCCTCTTCATTTTCCACCACTAATCCTGGAGAGGAAGCTGTAGTCTCTCTGCCCCATCTATCGTCTGTGTTTTTGTACATGCCGACTTTACTGGTATTGGACAAATTGACTGTTTGTGGTTTAAACACGCACGCTCTAATTCTTTTCAATCTCGGTAAACTGGGTGGTAGAATGTCCTGACTGGATTTCGAACATTATTTATAGCGTAACTTTGGTTTTATAGGAAATGTGGAAAAAAAAAAACCCGCATAATTTACAGATGTTAAAAATGGTGTTGGAAGGATGGATAGCGCTATCCACTCAGCATCCGGTGCGAAATGAATTCTAGGCCAGATAACTTCATATCGGTTCCAAACTTTTCTTCAGTAATTTTTTCAGTATCTTGATACGCTTCTTTGTGTTTTTTTGACGTGGGGTGAACTTTTTGTATTTCAGGAAAAATGGCCTCAGCAGTGGCCCCATCGTTTCGTTCATCAAAAGAGACAACTAATTACGCCACGTTATGCAGGCTTCTGGTGGATGTCAGAGCAGATATCTTGAGAAAGACTTTTGATAAGAGGCGTCCAACAGGAGACCTGAACGCAGTATTGTCAAGTCCCCCGTTTCATGCAATCTTAAACTCGCTTCGAAAGAAACAAATTCTTAGTCCTTCTCTTTGGAGAAAACTATATCCTGCCATCAAATCTACAGTTTCATCAAAGGATTTCGATATCCCTCTACTGATGGTTTTGCTGAGGAGTATATGCGGTCTTGTTCGTCCAGCTACCGGCTGGGATACTCTTCCTCCTGCAGCAGACACAACCCTTGAGGCAGAGATCGTTCGCATCAATTGCTTCAGAAACAAAGTTTATCGTCATGCCAGCGAGGCCTCAGTAGATGATTCAACATTCAATCAATACTGGCAGGACATCCAAGATGCATTGGTGAGACTGGGAGGAGCTGATTACCAAAGTGCTATTGATGATCTGAAAAAGGAATGCATGGACCCTGATCTCGAAGAACACTACATAGAGCTTCTTAAACAGTGCATCATGGATGAAGTTAGCATCAAAGAGAGACTGGATGAAATGGAAGCAATCGTTAATCCTAAAAAGAGAGCAGGTATTGTGTATTAACGGTAAAATCTGTGCAACGGCCTTTTGATCTTTCCTGAGAAAAGAAACTTGAAGAGGAAGATTGAAGGGCCTTTCGTCACAGGGTAATAAGCAATTTAACAATCAGTTCATTTCAGTATTATAAAATGCCTACCTTCAAAAATAGCTCAAACTCGGAGACCTCTCTAGCGTACACACAAAAAAAAATAGGTGTTTTCTGAGTCAAATTTGTTCCTCCCGTACCACAAATTACTGGATCTGCTCCTGAAATGAGTCCGTTAGTGTTGGTAATCACACGATTTCGAGTACAATTTTGGGTAAAACAGCACAAGTAAATTTTTGAAATGCGAACAAATTACACGAGCCTGTAGGGCGAATGCAATTTGTAGTTTTTGAAAAATTTACAAATGCTGATTTATCCCGAATTGCACGAGGAAAATCATGCGATTACTTATTAATAATATACTAGCAAAAATATGACTCTGTTTTCCTCTCTAGTTGCTTTTTTTTTCGTGTCATGGCTCACTGGTTCGGCCGCTTGCCTTTGCCTTGTGCTGGAGTAGTCGGGGTTTTCCCCAAGAATTTGGTTCGAGCTTTTAAACTCACCGTCACGAACAATCGGGTTTTTGTGCTCTTTGTCTATTAGGTATCGGTCGACAGCAATAATCAGTACACGAAAGATATCACGCTCGTTATCTTCCCCGTCTTTCTTACGAACTATTGCGTAAAATGCCTCGAGAAGTTTGTTTAGCGCCTCCGATTCATATTTTTCAATGCCCAAAACTTCCAAACTTTTAGCCAGTTGTTTGTGCTTTGTTTTGTATTTCTATTTTTGGCATTCTCCATCAAATTCTAAATTGAAAAGGTTGTTACCTTCTCCTAACCTCTCCGCCATTTTGTTTTGTTGCGGTTGGTGACTCTCCTGGCAACCAAATTATTTTCATCTTTCTACACTCAATTTCAACTTTTTGTCCTCAATCTCAACTTTGTGCTCTCTTTGGGATTAATTGACTTGTTCTCAGCCAGTGAGCATTATGAAATGTTGGCATGTATATTATTAAAAATGAAATAATTTAACCTTTACACCAACTTCTTACTACGCTTTTCTAATTGCTCTGTCAGAATTTGATGTCAATTAATTGCGAAAAGATTCAAGATTAACCCGCACTTTTTCATGGGAAAGCCTAATTAAAGCAAAACTCAGCTAGCGTGATAACCAATCGCGTCACAAGTCAGGCAGATCAATGACTCTTCGTCGAGCATTGGAAAAGTTAATACATAAAGGATCTATGAAAATAAATGCAAGTAACGGTTTCTTTTCAGCAGTAGCAGAATACTCCGATGCGTTGAAAAAATCAATAAAAAGCCACACCGAGTACCTCGCTCAGGCCTCACCGACCATGTCCAGAATGAGAACAGATGACATATTCACCAACATTGTCATGCAACATGGAAGAAAATCAGTCGAAGATCTTGATGTGAAACGAAAAGAACGCCTTCGCCAGTACGGTCAAAGAAGTGAAAAGCAAATTGAAAGCTCTCAAGAAATTTTCATCTCGACCGATGGGAAACATCCAAAATCTGTTCTTGTCACTGGAAAGGCAGGCATCGGTAAAACACTGTTTTGTCAAAAGCTGATCAGAGATTGGGCTGACAACAAATTGTTTCGATCCAGAGCAAATGCAGAAGTACCTGATTTTAAGTTCGCATACTTGCTCACGTTCCGTCAGCTTAATCTACTTGAGGACGACCCCGTTACCTTGGAGGATATCTTAAACCGATCTTCAGTGCTAGATGACCGCTCAAATATCAGCGACTCTATATTTGAGTACATTCTTCATCATTCCGAAGAAGTTTTGGTTATCATCGACGGGTATGACGAGTGTTCACGACGAAAGTGCATCGCTAGCGGTGGGGATGAAAAGTACCCAAATAACGCCAGAGAGAAAATGCCAGTAGAAGCACTGTGTGCCAAGCTTATCAAAGGAAAAATACTGACAGACTCGGTCGTCATGATCACGTCAAGACCCGACGAATCTGACGAAATGAAAGCCAAAGACATCCATTTTGATGGATACTTTGAAATTACAGGATTTTCCGAGCCGCAGGTAAAAGAATACATCGGAAAGTATTTCAAAAACAACGACCGAATGAAAAACATTGTAATGGACCACATTACAAAGAATGTCAATCTTGTCAGCTTTGCCCACATTCCTGTACTTTGTTTTCTTATGTGCTCCTACTATGAATATACTCTACAGCAACCAAAGAAGAATAATCCTCTCCCGGTGAAAACAAGTGACCTTTATGATGGAGTGGTCAACATGTTCGTGCGAAGACACGATACAAAGAAAAGAGCCTCTCTCAAGAAGACTCTGGATGAATTATCAAAGCTGGCAGCTCAACTTCTTCTGGAGAGAAAGTTTCTTTTCCTTAAAGAGGATTTGAAAACTTTGAACTTAAGAAGTCTGTGTGGAAGCGGTCTTCTTCATTGCGGTCCTCCTTTCAGAAAATCTTTTTCTGAGACGACTAAACATTTTTGTTTTACACATTTGACTCTCCAAGAGTACTTGGCGGCTCGTTGGTTTGTAGAGACAAGAACTATCCCCCCCAAACATGTGTCTACAGAAGTAGTTCTATTTATGTCTGGTATTTTGTCCAAGCAAAAAGACAACGAATTTGAGGAAAAGATGATTATCCACACATTTCTCAGCGACGACTTATTGGAAAATGAAGCCACAAGGGGGCATTTAATTTCTAAATGTCTCCTAAGATACGAAGACATTGAGTTTGCCAAGGGAATAGTTAAGAGATTTCACGACGTATTCGACATAAGAAATGGATCTTTTGGTCTTTCTTCCTTGGGTAGTAAGGGTGTGGACTGCCCTGCTGTGTCTTTTACATTAAATGTTTTTGGTGCACTCAGTGCAGAGAAGGAATCTGAATGGAATACAATCACCACACTTAAACTAACTTCTTGCACGGTCAACGATGCCGATGTTGCCAGTCTATGCCAAGCATTACAGACACCAACATGTAAAGTCACCGCACTTTATCTCGCTGGTAATCGGATCACCGATACCGGTGTTGCCAGTCTATGTCAAGCACTGAAGAAACTATCATGTAAAGTCACCGAACTTATTCTGGCTTATAATGAGATCACTGATACCGGTGTTGCCAGTCTATGTCAAGTATTACAGACACCAACATGTAAAATCACCAAACTTGATCTGGGTGGTAATGAGATCATCGATGCCGGTGTTGCCAGTCTATGTCAAGCATTAAAGACACCAACATGTAAAGTCACCGAACTTGGTCTGAGAGGTAATCGGATCACCGATGCCGGTGTTGCCAGTCTATGTCAAGTATTACAAACACCGACGTCTAAAGTCACCAAACTTAATCTGGGTGGTAATCAGATCACCGATGCCGGTGTTGCCAGCCTATGTCAAGCACTAAACAAACTATCATGGAAAGTCACCGAACTTTATCTGGCTTATAATCAGATCGCTGATGCCGGTGTTGCCAGTCTATGTCAAGCATTACAGACACCAACATGTAAAATCACCAAACTTGATCTGGGTGGTAATGAGATCACCGATGCTGGTGTTGCCAGTCTATGTCAAGCATTACAGACACCAACATGTAAAGTCACCGAACTTGATCTGGCTTATACTCAGATCACCGATGCCGGTGTTGCCAGTCTATGTCAAGCATTACAGACACCAACATGTAAAATCACCAAACTTAATCTGGGTGGTAATGAGATCACCGATGCTGGTGTTGCCAGTCTATGTCAAGCATTACAGACACCAACATGTAAAGTCACCGAACTTGATCTGGGTGATAATCAGATCACCGATGCCGGTGTTGCCAGCCTATGTCAAGCATTACAGACACCAATGTGTAAAGTCACCGAACTTGATCTGGGTGGTAATCAGATCACCGATGCCGGTGTTGATAGTCTATGTCAAGCACTACAGACACCAACGTGTAAAGTCACCGAACTTAATCTGGAGGACAATCAAATCACCGATGCCGCTATGGACCGTCCAATGAATATCTTAGGGTACACAAGGGCTGAAGAAGACTTAGGATGTTGGAAGTACATTCCATAAGCTGGAAACCACTCCGCTTCGCGTCGTGATTTCCTACGCTTATCTCGTGTTCTCCCAACCTTCCGCGTGTTTACATCCGGCTATGTAAACACGGAAACCATTTTACATTTCTTTTATAAAATAACTATTAAAAGAGGAACGAAAACCGTGTTTACATACGCTCATGCAAAATGGTTTTATGGCCAATCACTGCGCGCGTACGATTTGAATTATTTTCTAAAATGCCAATAGCAAACACTTCATCTTTTTGTTGTTCTTAAAATGCATTTATTACTTAATATTTCTATGAATTATAGATTTTCATAAGAAAATCACAAGATTTTAAGTACAACTTGGGAAAAATTAGCACAAGTGAACTGTTCAAAGGCTACCCAAATTGCACGAACCCGTAAGGCGTGTAAAATTTTTAGTTCTTTAAAAATATACGGTTGTTGATTTAACTACCCAAACCTTAACCCTAACCCTAGCACCAAACCAAACCGAGACTGAAACTGCTTTTCACTTCTGAGAAAACCAGGCATTAAGAAATCAAACAATGACCACAGCTCCAGGACATTACTCTGAAAATAAAACATGAGCATGTCATGAACGTAAAGCACTGTATCAAATCTTTGCAAGACTAAAAGAAGTAAAGCAATACAAAAAACTACAAAATTACGCTACCGTACGGAAAGATAACTCATAACAAAGGAGTATGGTGAGAATGAAACAAAAATGAACGACACATTAGAACGAGCAAGTCACAATTGTCTCAATATTTAATCTTGTGACGTAGAATACTTTAGAAACATGAACAACGTTTTGCTGTTCGACAGAAGCTGCTGTTGACATTTCCTCACATTATACAAGGCAGAAGAAAATATTTATCCTCCTCTTCGTAAGTAAGTGAAGAAGATTTTAAGATCTACATGTGGAATAGCTGTGGGAAGAGTGACTCGTCATCTTCCCATATTTAAATCGCATAGCTTCATTTGCTTAATAAAAGCCCCTTAATTCGTATCTGGATTGGTGTTCCCGAGAGTATAAGTGGATGACTGGCTCGTAGCTGCTTAATGACTTTAGGAAACTGGGAGGAAAGAAAAAAATCAAATTGAAAAAACCTGGAGCTTAAACCGCCCACTATGTCGTGTTGACATCAATGACGATGCAGTACAAAGAGCTTGTTTACGCTTCCGTCCTAACTAATTAAAGGGGCCGATACTCGTAGGAACTTCTTACCGACCGCCTTTAATTTGAATACTGGACTACATAGCTACTGTTCCATTTCGGACGATTCGAAATCATTCTCAAGCAACAACCATCAGTGAAACTTCAATGATAAAAAGGAGAACCTGTTTAAATCCTGTCAGAGAGATAACACATGGAGAATACCAAATATACGATATCTTCGTCTCCACCGGTTTTTTTCTGTCAGGGAATTATCATCGGTCTCCTCAACCTTTGCTTTCTCGAGGAAAGACCAAAACGTAACCTACCTTTGTTTTTCCATTCTTTATAATGTGGCCCTCGTCAAGGACACAATAGTTCCAGTGCACTGATCTGTTCGGACGAAACAAACGAGACATTTCGTTGAAATAACTGCTGTGCCTTAGCAATGTGTATTTTCAATTACCCTTCAGTAACTCTCCTTACCTGAAGAATTCACTATCGTACGATGCCACGACTAAACTGTGATTTTTGACCTTGTTACGTAGTCTGCGAAGAGAAAAGAAGGCAAAAAAATTGTTTTCAATGGTCGAATTTTATCTCGGCTTTCATGAAATCAAATAGTTCCGTTTTCTAAATGCTGCAGTTTAAATTGCACTTTATGCCAACTGTTCCCTCACCCTACAAATCTGTAAGTGATAGTGAGCTTTCGGCAGACTGTGTGCTACCTTCGATAGGAGACAAGCTACCCTCGTCGCACACCGTTCAGTACATCATTTTAAACAGAGGCCATTAGTTTATAATTCCAACATGAATAAAGGCTTCGTTTTCGCTGTTTTCTTTGAGCACCCTACCTGTTGATATTTTCTCAGCTCAGCTTTGATAGGAACAGGAATAGTGTAATTCTCCACCTTTTTACCGTCCAAAAGTTGCTCCAGAAATTTTCGTTCCTTCTGTTTTTGCTCCACCATAGCTTTGAACATGCGGGGCGGGTCAGGAATACCAGACTACAGAAAACAACAGTCGAATATTGGAGAAAATGAATATGGAGTTAAGGAACCGATAAAATGGTCATATGGTTCCAGTTTAGGACTGCATGTTTTTCTATCCTAGCTCCGTCGAAATAAAATTACGGACACTTCAGTATGAATTACATACAAATCTCAATCTGCAAGACATATGTCCTCTTTCTTTTTTTTTTCCGCCGTTCCCATTAGAGGTGTCGTCCAACTAAGAACATTACAACGAAGATGAGGTGCACGGACCATCAAACCATTGCTTTAATTAATGACATTTCCGTCAAAACTCTTGCTTAGATAGCCAGGGTATATTCCAACAAAATAAAAGACAAGGCACACAACGGCAAGCTGGGTAAAATGTAGCATGGTAATGCGCTCAGTTACTGTCGTAGTAAAAGACTTAAGACTACTTCGAATTAACCTAAACTACCTCAAGAGGCAGAAGCCTAATAAGTGTGGCAAAAAAGTATGTGGCCATAAGTCGAAAATCCTCACGCTGATAACTCATCCGTCCAAGCACAGGCACCACCAGGAGAACAACGTGCGGCACCGCACCCATTCCGAGCCGATAAATTAGTTACGGATACCAAAAAACGTGTGTACATTGAATACACAGCGAAAATAAGATCTACTCCAAAATGGCAAGAAGCGATGGACCAGTCACTATTTGTCACTGGGGGGGAGGGGGAGGATTTTGGGAGAGATCACAAAAAATGTGTGTACATTGAAAACACAGCGAAAATAAGATCTACTCCAAAATGGCAAGAAGCAATGGGCCAGTCACTATTTGTCACTGGGGGGGAGGGGGAGGATTTTGGGAGAGATCACAAAAAATGTGTGTACATTGAAAACACAGCGAAAATAAGATCTACTCCAAAATGGCAAGAAGCAATGGACCAGTCACTATTTGTCACTGGGGGGGAGGGGGAGGATTTTGGGAGAGATCACATGGTTTTCAGGGGGGATTGAGAGGGGGGGGGGAAATCAGTCGTCGCTAACAGAGTCTTTAGGGGGGGACTATGGAAAACTAACTGTTAATGAAGGGAGGGGGGTAATAAGAATACTGAAGAACTAAGGAGGGGGGGACAAGGTAAATTTTATTGTGACACAACCTGAGCCTTTTTTTCAGTTGAATCATTCATACCACATCTGTACACAGGCAATATACACTAAATTTAGACGGAAACGCCATTTCTGCATTAATTTTGGTGCACCACAATATCTCTCTCAAGCATAACAATTGTAATCAGCTTTTTAAGGATACAAGATATAGCTTCTATTGCTCCTTGTCCATTCCTGGTGACATCAGTAGTGCCCATCAGTGATACGATATCTTTTACCACTGTCTTCATGGTATCTCCAATGGACAAAGTACACAGGACACCCAGGCACCTAGCTGCCAAGTGTCGCACTGCACTGTAAGGGTGCTGAAGGCACAGTAGTATATTGAGGCGCAAATCTAAAATCTAAAAGGCAAAAATTAAGGTTACAACTAAATATCCAAATTGGTCTTAGAAACTAAATATCCAAATTGGTCTTGCAACCTTTGAAAACTGGCATGTCTATATATCTATTGATTGCTTCTGTTGAGCAGATTTAGACTTTCTACCAAGTAAAGTTTGTTACTGGCAAAAAGGAAAAAAATTAAACTAGCTGTCATACATGCATGTACCCTGAGCCTTTTAAATGTAAATCTTCGTTGAATTTGAAGTTTTCTGTCACTTTGATTTTACCACCTATCCCGCTTCTGTGGTGATACATGGTTTGAACAGGTACTTTATTTCATGAAGGTAAATCTAGAAAAGGAAAGAGCACAACAGCTTTTGAGGAGGACCTCCTTTTCAAATGGCATTAGAAGCAGGCTAACTAAGAAAACCAAAATGAGGAAACTTGCTAACAGTGATCAATGTTACCTTAGATAAGAGTTCCACATACATTGTGGGTGTCAATACCTCAAGAACTTGTTAGTAGTTTACCAGATTTTGGGCTTCATTATCCAGACCAATAAGTTTGTCTGGATTTAGGACAACAAGAAAATATAAGAACATGGAAAGAAATTTTTAAGATTTAAGGTTGATATGTCCTAATCTTTAATACTTTGGAATTCTACATTGTACTATTCAGTCTCTCTCGTGGCACATTAGTTGTATCTTTCCAAAAGTCAAACATATAAGTTGGACTTCCATGAGCAGCTCAAGGAATTTCCTCTGGCTAAAAATTATTGAATCACTGACTATAGAACATCATGTTTTATGTCAGTCAGCAGGCTTCCAATCTATTGACTAAAAGAGTAAAGTGGAGTCAATACTGGTTGGGTCACAATCATTCACACAGGAGAGCTTATCATGGACTCTTATTTCATACATGCTGAGATTTTACACTGTGAAGTCCTATTGATTATGTCTCTGATTGGATGAACCATGTTACAGTCGCTCGCTTGCAATCTTCGATGGGGTAAGTACTAAAACAAGAAACCACCTAAAACCACCTAAAACCAGCTACAACCACCTACAACCATCTACAACCACCTCAAAAATTTCAACAACCACCTATAACCACCTCAAAAACATCTACAACCACTTGCAAGCTATCTAAAACCATTTAAAACAAGGCATAAAGGTCTAAAATAAGGCGATACGACATGTCACGTACACGAAATACGAGAATCGAACGAAACCTC